GGCTATAAATTGCTCTTGAGAGACAAGCCTAGGAAACATAGAATTTCTTAAGAGGCAACTTGTCCCACCTACAATTTTTTAAGCCTCAAGTGACAACCCCCCACCCACCACCACCACCAAACATTCAATATAGTTCCTTACGCGGTCTTGCACTTCCACAACCTAGGCGATAAACTTAACGCTGCAATTTGATGCTTAATTGATTTTAAACAACGATAACGTTGAAGTGCCTTACAGGCGGCTGTCCATTCATATTACGGTGTGGCTCTTGGATCACATAACATAAACCGGTAATTATTGTCAACAATATCATTTGAATACAATGTTACAGCAAACGTGCTTTTATACTACAAAAAACATCGCTCAATTTAACCTTACTGGCTTTATTGTCTGTTACCTCAAACCGAATTTTCCTTGAGCGTTTCTAATAATTCAGTGATAGCTAAGTAAACGCGGCGCATTAAGGCCCATGAACAGGAACTGCGCTTCATTGTTATCTCAGACAGGCGCTCACACGGACACGTGGAAAAATGCACGCTAAAAGACGTAGAAAATAATCTTCATCGGCAGAAGCATGACTTCAATAACATCAAGGAACCTTGGAAAAGTATGCATGTATGTGTACCGAGACGTTAGATGCAGCCAGGATATTTTTTGTACAAACATTGGTGTAACACGCAAACTCATGCACAATACAAGCATTAGGCTTACCTCCAAGGCCATGCTCTCAAGTTTTCCACCCAAGGCAGAGAGCAAGACGCACAAAGAATATGGCGACGCCAACGTCAACGTCAACGTCGGTGGCAAAATGCAGCCGAGAGTGTCCACATAATTGCTATCGCAATAAAATTCCGACTCGCTTCACACGCCGTCCGTCGATGGACACACGGGAGTAACAGCTGAGTGACCCAGAAGGCCCAGTGACCGAGCTGATACAAGTGCGCATGCACGGCACGTGGGCACAGCCAGTGTGTTTACGGTGATAGTCACTTGCCCGCTCATTTCGTCTTCTCAACGAAGCGTGCTCAGCGGACATGACAGCAGACGAGCGCGCGAGCATTTTCTAAGCAAAGCCGTAGCCTAACATAGTGGCAGAGCCTCGGCTTGATTGAGAGTAATTTAATCGTTGTCGAACAGGTGGCGCCACAAAACGCTTTGTTGAAACAAGTGGGCCGTTGTTCAACCATTTATCTTCCTTTTGTCTTGTGCTACGCTGCCCCTCTGCTGCTCTGCTTAGGCACTCCGCTATTACTCACTAATAACGTTCCTTGTGATACACGCAGCCTTTTTTTTTTGGGGGGGGGGGGGGGGAGAAGTTCAAGGGCACCTAAATTACTCTGATTTCATAGACGAGAGAGTGATTTCCCTCTCGATTTCACTAGCCGTCCTTGCAGGGCATATTTTCTCCTCGTCACCTATTTCTTCACTGAACACCAGGACAATAGGCTGCCAAAGCCATGTTGAGTGGTGTCATTGCTCTTTACGTGACTAAGATTATGCACGCTGCGTCTCCGTTCGCCACAACACTGCCGCCCCTGCACACGCGCAGAGCTCTCAGATTGCATCGGTGGTGCGCCACAAAGTAGCTATTGCTGACTCTTGCCCCCGTATTCTAGAACGTCCCTTTACTCAACGCTCCACCTTCACTGGAGAAAGCCGATGAAAGCGCCGTCTCTAGTCACGACAAGTCACTGCATATCAGCAATGATCTGCTGCAATTCTGGAATAGGACAGCATCATTTTCAGCCGAGAAGCGGCTCAGTGCTCAACTCTGTCAAGTGAAGGGGGAAAGTCGAGTCGAGGACTGTGAATACGGGGGTCAGTGCTTCGGGCCCAAAGAGGGACGCGTGCGCACGAGTATCCTTTTCGCCACCGCTGCCAAATCCGGCGACAAACTGCAAGCGTCTACCCTGCAGCAACGCATAGCATGCATGGTCGTGCGAGTGTCACACCCAAAAGTGAGCTCGGGTTCCCTATATCACAACTAAAGGCTGTTTCACATGCCGCAATAGCAGCGAAACAAATCGTTCCAATCACTTTGTTCGCAACCACTGCTAATGGTGGTTCCATTACACATCGACTGCAAATACTCTGTTATTTTCACTCTTCGACTGGAGCGGCGAGAAACGTTTTGACACCGTTCTTTGATGCAGACACTACAGAATTTTTCAAATCTAATGTAACAATCTGTGCGTTGTGATATCATAATGTTTCCAAAAACGGCAACGAAGAGCACGCGTGTTTTGTCATTCAAGAACACTCTCCAATCTATAACCTTTTTTTTTAAGTTCGAAGACAGCGGTTATTATGAAAGCAAACACACCAACGCATTTTCGACGGCTTGGCCGGTCCGACGTTATTTCATACGGGTCCCGACCGAAAACCATTTCGCCGTTGCGATCAGGGCGAGAACTTTTCAACATGTTGGTAGCTCGCCGGTGGGAGCTAACTGCCACTTTCTCTTCGCTGTGAGTGAATTCCCAGCCTGAAAATTGCTCCTTTTTGTGTCATGCGAAACGGCCTTAAGCGTTGAGTTTATCAGTATCTCGCGATTTTTGGTTTCGCGCTCTGACCACCGTCTACTCAGCCTAAAATGTATAGACCTAAATGAAATAGGTTGATCGCGCTCTTTTGCTCCCTTTGATAAGACATCGAAGAATAAACAGAGTGCATCACGTTCCCTATAACTGCTCGCTTTTCGAATTTGACTGCGTAGCGAGGTGGCAGCGTTCATGCTTGCTGCCAAATCTACCTAGAAACCATATTACCGCAGTTTCGGGCTTCCCGAAGAACAATCATGTGCTTTTAACCTTGCATTCGCTCTGCGATGGCTTCCTCCGCCTGCCTGAGCAGGTTTTTTTTTTCAATTTGCTGCGGACGATGTATTCAAAAGAGCTTGTGTTGGACCTAGTTGGAACAACGTGGTGAAATGAGCGGCGCTGCACACTAGCGAATTTCAAAAAGCGAACCGTGAGTGAAGATAATGCACCATGTTTATTCTTTGCCTTCTTATAAAAAAAAAGCGAAAAAGGAAGAAGATGCACCCTACGCCCTTCCACGCACACGATCCACTGCAGCGTTCGCCGAAGTGTGATTGCGATGGCAGTGCCGCGATAGCAGCGAGATTCTCCTTTTAGGCCAGGTACGCAGCCTGAAAACTTTTGACCGACCATGTACCACAAGCCTAAGCTGATATTTTTCACTTCTCTCCTTATTCGGAGCACAAGCGCGAATAAGTTGTGTTTTGGCCCTGTGATAATGTTTTCGTGGTAGGAGGCAATTAGGCCGCCGTCTACGAGCTCAGCAGCGGAATACCTTAATCTCTAATTAACCAAGACGTTTCGTGTGTGTGAGTGAATAGTAAATTATTTCCTTCAAGTGCTGATTCATACAGACAATGAAAAGAGTAACTAACGTATGGAATTCACGAATGTGTTTCAGTTGTTCATGAATGTAAGCAAAACCCATACTCCAGCTTTGCGAGTGTTAGCCAGAAACCTTGTGTGCCTTGCTCTCCATTACAGGTTGAAACCAGCGTGGCAAATGTCGATAAGCAGATGGGAAGGAGGTCAGACAGAACCTCCACAGATATTCACTGCTCGTTTGACACACGTACAAATTGATTTGTCGAACACGTAGGACAGTTGGACATTTTCTTTTCGTTATAACGATTAAAAGGGACTATATATTAAGTCAGTGGCAAACCAGCGCCACTCAAAATGTGGAGAGCACACAACAGCGCAGCTTTCTTGTTCCTTCGTTTGGCCAAGGTCGTGGCTGAATGTTCCAGGGGCAAGGCTTAATAACAATAAGAACAAACAACAAGTAGACACACTCGATTTCTCACGGGCTCTCACTTTCTCACTACTGCAGTCATCACTGAACTGCCAGAAACAACAGCAGCACTTGAAGGCTCACGTTTCCAGCACACACCACTCCTCTAAATACTTGCACTGGTTCACGGCAGGTACACGCACAATCTGTTTATCGTCAGAGTTTTCACCTCAGCGCTATTTTAGCACTGCAGGTTTCAGCGTCCCACTTCCAGCACATTTCCGTTCCGCAAGGATTTTACATTGATGTCAGGTGGTCAGACAATTCTGTTGAGTGCCAGCGGTTCATAGGTTTGTTTTTCTCACAGGGTTGTGTATGAAAAACAGCTAGGTCATGACCAGGGTTTTCACCTGAAAATTTTAGTGGGCATATCGAGAAAAGAAGGGGCTGGGGTTGTCGGGAAAAGAAGTTAAATTTCAGAATTTGAAGCTTTCAATTGTGCTGCTTTCGGCACACATTCAGATGTCATGTACAGTTGCACATTTATGGCATCTATAATACCTATAGAAGGCGGAAGCAAGGGTGCTTGTGTTCAAGCGCTGACATCGGTGTTGGGTATACGCTTGTAACCATAAAGACACTTGTTCAGACTCCTGTTTACATAAACGCGTGGAGAGAGGTACGGCTCAGTGGCGTTACACAAACACGCTTACTATTTGTTGTTAAGTATGTTAAATTTGAGCAGCGAGTGGCATATTGAAAGCGGCGTACGAAAAACCATAGCACTGGGGTGGGAAGCCGAAACCAAATGGGGGGGGGGGCAGGGAACTTTTATCATGAGATAAACTTCGCTCTTGACGACGGCGCACTAATGTTGTCACGTGAAATGGATGCGTTTCCACTGAACCGCTCATTGTCGACCATGCGACTAGATAGCTGATCTTTGTGGTCGCCGACATACAGATGACAAGTGCCCACGCGAGGCAACACGATGACACGATGCTTTAGCGTTCTTTATAACTTCCAGTCTTGGATCTGGGCACCACCGGAAAGTTGCTGTTATGGTGTTGACCGAAACGCTCACGGAACAAGCCGGCCAGGGGCGAGTGGCACACAGTCCATCGGTGCGCCGAAGGCTACAACCTCACAAGCAGTCTTATCACTGACGAGACCGAGTGGAAAAGAAAACGGGAAAAGACAGTAGTCACTGGTAGTTATCAAGTCTTTCAGGACGCGACCGAGACACCAGATCCTTTCGCTATCGTAAACGACGTCTCTTCAGTGGTCGTCTTGAGGGTGGAGTTACGGAGAGGATCACGATCTGAAGCAGCGGCTAGAGAAGGTTCCACCGCCACAGTCGCCGTTTCTGCAGGAACGTTCCAAAAATGGGGAAGTTCCGGCACGCTTGGCGTGCTGGCGGGCACAGGAGTGGGCCTCTGGAAAGTGCTGAAGGACTCCAGCTTGGGCTTGTCCAAAGGTGTCTGAACAACGCCGTTGATTCGAATGGGAGTGGTTTCACCGCCAGCGTAGGCGAACAGGATGTGCGCCTTCTGGTCGCCGGCCAGCGCGATGGTTGTTGGCATGTTACGCGACGGGTCGTGAAACTGGTTCACGGGTTCGGATACTCTCAAGGTGTTGGTCTTGATGGTTTGCTGCTCCTGACCCGAGTAAAGGTCGGGCACCATAGATGGAACTTGGTGTTCGGAAGAGTAGAACTCCTTGTGGTTGTCCTTGGATACAGGTTCGTCGGTAACCACCTGTGAATGAAAAGTCAGCGTGTCAGAAAAAGTTAAAAGTGAGGGTTGAATTTTTGAAGCAATGCATGAACTAATGAACCAAGCTGATATATCATGTCTCCCAGTGCAAAGAGAAACAGGTCCAATTGATTGATTGATTAAAACTTTACTTTAAACAGGCCCAATAGCAAAAAAAAAGACTCGCGTGAACAATTTCAGGCATCATTAAATTTCACAAGATGACAAATGTTAAGCATGCTTGCGTGGGAGACTACAGTTATTAAGTTGTGCTATACCAGTTAGATGCGTACGCAGAAAAATTTGTTCCGAGGGGGGGTGGCTCTATTTGGACTTGCAGTGGGGGCGGGGTAAGAAGATGTGGTCACATGCCATCTCGTGATGATTGAATTATTGATATGTGGGGTTTAACGTCCCAAAACAACCGTATGAATAAGAGAGACGCCAAAGTGGAGGGCTCCGGAAATTTCAACCACCTGGGGTTTTTCAACTAGACGCAAATCTGAGCACATGGGCCTCCATCATTTTCGCTTCCATCGAAAATAGAGCCGCCGCAGCCGGGATTCGATCCCGTGACCGGCGGGTCAGAAGTCGAGTACCTTAGCCCCTAGACCATCGCGACGAGGCATGTCATTTCGTAGTCAATGTGCCATGACAGAAGAAAAATTGTGAGGAGGGGGGCATGGGCCCAGTGGACCATCTTCTGGCTATGCCACCGATACCAGTCAATTATCTGAATTTATTGGTCTAGTGGTATGATACATGGACTCATAAAAGCTGACGGTCAAGTAAACCCTTGAATAGAGAATGGCGATTTGCTAGCCTATACCTCCATACATTTTGCTCACATTAATAATTTACATGCAGAGGCATATGATTGTTTTATATGTGGGGTTTAACGTCCCAAAACCACCATATGATTATGAGAGGTGCCATAGTGGATGGCTCCGGAAATTTCGACCACCTAGAATTCTTTAACATGCACCCACGCCTACGACATTTCCGCCTCCAGGGGAAATGCAGCCGCTGCAGCCGGGATTTGATCGCGCAACCTGAGGGTCAGCAGCTCAGTACCTTAGCCACCAGACCACCGCGGCGGGGCTGCAGAGGCATATGGGGAAATTTGTTTGGAGGGAAGGGGGCACCTCCTTAGAAATGTCAATTTTCTTTCTGTATGTCATGTCGAAAAAAATTGGAAGGGTGGTCGCACGGACCCAGTGCGCCACCTCTTGGCGACGCCACTGTATTCAAGTAACGTGAAGTTTTATAACGTGAATGCCCTACTGATCATTGAAAACCCTTAGCCCCAAACTCTGAAACGAAAAACTTTTGGGACCTTAACACACACAAACAATTACAATGATGTTTATATCTGTCCGTGGCGTTGCATCAGCAACAAACTATTGCGCGTGCATTGGCTTGGTGATACACGATTTGTTGAAGTCAACCAGAGCCGCGAAATGTGATGCTGTTTTACGAAAATGAGAAATTTAGTAGAAGAAACATGGTCGGAAATTGTGATCCTAAGGACACTTGGAATCAGCCTGTGATGCAGAATGAAGCATACCAATAAAGCCCTGAATAACTTTGATAGTACAGGTACTATCGATGTCGAATCATGCACGTGCATCAGCAAGCATTATAAATGGTATAGCGCACCATCCAGTACCGATCACTGAAAGGCGCGAATATACGATTTCGCAGCAATGAGCATAGTAGTGTTCGTTCATAGTGTTGACTGGACGGCGAGCTCTGTATCATCGTGAACGCTTACGGCTGCTCATGTTTCGTTGGACGCTCACATATCAGTATGAACGAAGCCAAGATTATTCATTTAGCTAGATAAGTATGGGCAAAAATACTTTAGAGCACTTTGACTAGCTTTTCTGGGTATCAAGCTTTATTTTACATTGCTGCTGTTACCAGGAAGTTAAAAAAAAATTTAGGTTCACCTTGTGTGAGGGCTTTTTCTTCTTAGTCAGCGTCCCTGAATTCTTATCGTCCTTTTGCACATTCGAGTTCTTCAACAACTTCCCAACACCGGAGAACCGGGGCAGCTTCGCTGGATGGTCTCTGGAACCCGGTGTGGCACCATTACCTCCTTTACTCCAGATGTTGCTGTTGAACACCACGGTGCTCGTGCTGTCCGTGCTGCTAGATGTTACCCGAACCATGGACGAGTGGCTGTTCTGCTTGGGATTCGAGTTCGCACACCAGGACCCGGCGGGAACTGCACCGCCTCGGTGCTTCTTGAATGTGCCCGTGGTGACCAGTTGCGTCCAGGAAGCGCGTGCCTCCGGGTACTGCAGCACCCTAACCACGAAGATCAGGAAGCCCTGCATCGAGTTGCAGACGCAGAAGACGTACTGGAAAACGGTCTTGGCTTCCCCCACGGCGAACACTCCGAAGATCCACGTGACCCCGAGAAGAGTCATCACCGTGAAGGCACCCCTGACTTGCGTCGCGGTGATTGGAAGGTTATCCGTACCACCGCCAGATGGGCTAGAGGCGGAGCACGAGTTGTGGTTCGCCGATTTTCCGCTATTGGCCTCGGCCATGCGGGGTTTGAACAGTACGCGGGTGACCATGATAAAGACGAGTAGGTTGACGAAAAGGATGAAGCAGGAGATGCCCAAGAAGGCGATGTAGTAGATGAGTTGGTTTTTAGAAGATATGACGCAGCTGTAATGAAGAAAAATACGAATTAGGGAGACATTATGTACGATATTTTCTAGTAGGCATACACTGACTTGCTACGCATACCTTGCTAGTCCTTGCTTGCTACGTGTGAGTCTCTTTATAAGCTTGTGAGCTCTCCTTCGAGATTCTTATACTCTAGTTGGAGAGTCCCCGGACCCCATAAGCGAGTTAAGGCGTCTAATTAAAAAGAGCCTCATACGTTTCCAGTGAAGACTGACGCAGACGACTAGATTATTCTAATGTCTTTAGGATGCCATTGACTCCTCCGTGATGTCAACCTCCCTCAAAAGCCATAATTCAATGGATATTATATAATTAGAGGCTGTGGGCGACGGAAAAGCAAATCATTTGCTAGTTAATGTGTACATGAGTAATTCGCCCCATTTTTCATAGAGTCATCGCAAAGGGGATAATCGAACGTATGTGTGTTACGTGATAAATGTTTGCGAATACAAAGCAAGAATTGAGCTTTTTCTAAAGTTGATGCATGTTAGAGTTCATTTTGGGTGAATTTAGCACCTCTGTTGAACCACAGTAACACCAGTTCACCAGGAGTGTATCTCTGGTGTAAAATTAGCCACAGTGCTCTCCATTCCTAATATGTAAACTGGATTTATTCTAGCTTCACTTTTCCTAATGGAAAAGCAACCATTATTTCACTGAATGTCCGGCTAATGTAACTGTTGGATATGCCTTAGAGTTACCTTATGTCCATACTTATGGCCCAGCAAAGCTTTCTGTTTGTTGCATTTGCTTGTCTGTGTTGATTGGAGATATCACCTCCGTCAACATAAAATTTTTCTACACACCCGAAGTCGGGGTAAAACTGGTAGCACACGTGAATTTTCCGTTTTGACTGTATACTTACTAGTCATCTCGATTTCTGTAAGGCTCCAAGTCAATGGCCAGACAAGTTCCAACTATGACAGCCGGAATTCCTGAAACAATATAACATTTATGAGCATTGTTGTAGAAAGTCGTATAGGTATGGAATTTAGGTGACTTAAAAAACAGATCTGTTGTGATGTCCAGACCGCAATGTACGAGTTCGCTAGCAAGTTCCGCAAGATCATACCAAGCGAGGGCTCCGAAAACACACCGAAACTCTAAGCGCGTCTTCTAAGTGAATAATGCGATTAACATTGGGACGGAAATTCGCAGGTGCCTAGAAATCTTGAGAAAGGGGTCGATTAGTGACATCTGCACGTAGGTGTCCCTGTGCTCTGGTGTATTCCTAGGGCTAACCTTGTACTTAGCGCTGGTGAAACGGATCACAAAGGCCACTTAGAAACAAGCATGTAATTGAAATCTGCTTCGCCTGATGGCACACTCGTGCCGGTGGCTCACAAGGAGAGCACCTGCTCTTTAAATGAACTCTGTTAATTCATTTCTCTAATTACATAAACAGTTTATTGGCCATATTGGAACAAACTTGTGGTCAAGTATCATATTGTCACGATGAATCACAAGTACTGGAGGTTTATTAAACCACCGAGTAGCTAGCTCTAGGACAATGCGTCAGTCGTGGCTGGCTCTCCACTCGAGAAGAAGCACGCGATCTCCTTTTTTTCTCTAGATTGAGAGCCGCTCTTATAGTCGACTCACTACGTGTGGGTGACAATATGCATACCTGAGAACTTAAACCAGAACCATCAATTTTGTGCCGGTATTGCATTCTTGATGCACGTTTTTCCAATATGCTTAAAACAAACGTGCTTCACTGGATGTGCTTGGAATAGAAATATGCGTTTCTGTCAGAGCTCGAGCAACTAAATATTGTCTTGATCACCAGTAAAGTCAGCCTCTCTTTCTGGCGGAGATGATATGGCCTTCCTGGGTAATCTCCTCATATCCATCATTGCCTAAAAACAATGTGGCGACCATGAGTTGCTTGATTTGAATAATTACGTGGATGGACGTTCTTCGAGGGCATCCACAGGTTTTGCAAGGGCAATATCGTGATTTTGCTTACGCAACGGCGTCCTCTGCAAGAGAAACTTTTCATTTATCAGGGTCCCCTATTTGTTCGTTATTCCTGCAACCCTTCGTACTGAATTGCTTCAAGCATGTCACAACGAGGTGACTCCTGACGTCACGGAGCTAGCGCGATACTTGGTGTGGCCTGAAATATCACCTCCACAGCTTCTCAGACAGTCCATGTTTTCGCATGTGTGTCACCCCACACTCTGTCACCAGTTTTGTAAAGTACTGTGTGACACTGGGCGTTGTAACGTCATACGCTTGGCGGATCCGTAAGCATGCTCGGTCTCTAGCTTCTTCCGCGTGCTCAGTAGGTTGCCCGTGTCTTCCCGCTGATGTGGCAACATCGCATCTAACACTGTATGTACTTTCCGTCCATGAACCAAATTGAATGAAGTCATGCATGTGAGTCGTTTTACAACGAAAGCTGTTATGAGACCACAACTCTGGTCTCGCGGCATCGTAGTTGTCCGTCGCCGCCGCCGCCACCACCGGTGTCCATAACCACATCGCCGGACACTTAGAAAACAAAATGGCAGCATATTCACGGGATGAATGATGGAGAGTGGGGCGAAGCGTCCCTCCGTCCACTCGCTCTTGCTTCAATCCGTCCATGCGTCCGTCTGTCTGACCGTCCATGCGTCCATCCGCCCGTCCGTGCGTATGTTCGTGCGGCCGCACGTCCATCCGTGCGTCCTTCCCTGCGTTCGTCCATGCATCCGCCCCTGCGTCCGTCCATACGTCCATCCATCCGTGCAGCCATCCGTGCGTCCGTCCATGCTGTGTGTCTGTTCGTCCATCTAGTCAACACTCCAAGTGCCACGATCTCGCATATTTTCATCATATATGAGTCCGTCTGTGTGACCGTCCATGCGTCCATCCGCCCGTCCGTGCGTGCGTATGTTCGCGCGTTCGCACGTCCATCCGTGCGTTCATACCTTCGTTCGCCCATGCATTCGCCCCTGGGTTCGTCCATGCATCTTCCGTCCGTACAGCCATCCGTGCGTCCGTCCATGCATCTGTCTGTGTGTCCGTTCGTCCATCTAGGCAACACTCCAAAACAACCATCTTGCATCTTTTCATCAAATATTCCGCATATAGAAGCACCGCCATCCAGCGGACATTACAAGGACTAAACGAGAGGTGGCACACGCACAGTTTCTTACGGCTTGCGCTTCTTGTCTACTTCCCACATTTAACCACGTCGAGTTCATGGTATATACTAGTTCATTGTATTTATGGCACTGCGGCCCAACGCTCGCTAAACGTTTCTAAAACCAAGGAGGTTAAAACCAGCGAGTATAACGTAGCAACCCTTTCTTGTCAGATAGTGCTCAATGTACATGCCAATTGCTTCTAATTGGGAATGAGAGATAGGAGAATTCGGCTTTTAGTTAATGCGCATGCTGCGAATTTTTTATTGTTCAACAACGCACAGGAGAAATCTCCCACCAGCACCACCTTGCAAGTCAAAGCGTAAGACTGGTTACGCACTACGACTACGATGAGGGACGAACGGGTGCCGCTCTAAGGAGCTTCGCCCCTAAAATGCTTTTACCTATGGCAGTGTCACTGCGCCCCTCGCGTTAAGCAGTGGCTCTAACTGCGGAGAAATGCTACCATTGCTCTGAACTCTATTGCGAAGGCCGTAAGACAGAACGCGCCTTTCTAGTCTGGCCGTGTGTAAGTATTGCTCACTACCATTTGTTGTCTAAGCGGTGGGTATAGAGTGAATTGTGACACACTTGACAGAAAGTATAAAAAAATATAAAAAACACAGTTGAACTCTCAATGTGTGTCACAATATACGAAGTTCCTAAATATCAGAGCGAAATGGTTATAATACTGCACGTTCAACGTTCAACCAGGCCCAGGCCTGGACAAAACTGTCGGAAATATATCCTTTCCAGGGCAATTATGAGAGGAAGGAAATTATGGAGGGCTGGTTTCTTTTTTTTTTAGTCAGAACATTAATGAGAAATAGCACACTGTACAGTAAAAAAAAATGGACAGGGGATGTTACTTGCAGAAATATTCTAAATGCAAAAAAGGAAAATGGACGAAAAGGCTACTTGCTGCGGACGGCCACAATTTTTCGTCAAAACGTAAAAAAATGACCCACAACATTTGACTGCTATAGGCATATTTATATGGTCCCTGAGCATCGTTTCATTGGCAGCGTATGACGTTTGCAATACAATTTAAACCTATGGATATAGCATGCAAGATTCACAGTAAAATTCACATTGAAATGTTTCGTGCAGCATGAAAAATTCACTATAGAAAGAGGTTCTGCAATGACAAGATAATAAATATCCACTTTATAGTCTTCACATCTACATCCCTATAAGAACATCTACTACAACAAATATCCTGTATACTTGGATAAAACATTTACCTTATAGTTTTCACATCTCCATCCCTATACGTACATCTACTCTAACAAACATCCTCTATACTTGGTCCCCATTATTCTTCCAGAGTACGCAACATGAAAAGCGTGATCGCTTACCCCAGGCGACAAGGATGCGCTTGAGCATGAAGCACGTCTCCGACGTGGCAAACACGTGCACCAGCATCTGGTACATGTTCGAGGCCTCGACGCCCATCCAGGCGAGGCACGCGAGCAGAAAGTAGTGCGTGGCCACGGCCGTGCCCATACACAGTTCGAGTCTGGGGAACCGCTCGTGTAGCGAGCCCACCAAGAAGGACACGTTCAGCAGGAGCATGGCGGAACACAAGTTGAGCAGGATCTTGCCAGAGCGGTCCTTGTTGAGGCATCTGACAAAGGACGCGTACGGGACAACATACCACAATGGGTTCTTGCAGATTTTTACTGAAGCTAATATGCTGTTAGAAAGAGACGGTGCAATTTAGTCGCGTTTAAGGCGCTGCATGATCAGTCGTATCTTCAGGCGAATTGCAAACAATATCAGCGCAATCACAGCACTTAGTAAACGTGAACTAAAAAAGATACAAATAAAGCAGCAACACAGTCTTCCACAAGCTCACGCATGTAGATAACATTGTGAGGCTGTAATCTATTCTATTATTTCCCATATATTATTTATTAGTTAGGCTTTCATTACATCTTACTGAAGATATTTTAACTATGCGATGTTGAACTACGGCAACAGCGAATTTAAGCGACATGAGATCATAGATACCACCTTCACCAGAATGAGCCTAATGGTTAAATCCCCTTATTAGAGCATCTTGTACAGTGTAGTCTTAAACTGCAAGTTCCCTTCACAGCCGAATGTAGGCCTACAGATTTTTGCAATCCTGCGGTAACCTCAAAGAATAGAAACCTATAGCATTGGGGACACGTCATTGTACTTTCTGGTTTGCCAAAACGTAGTGTAACAATTATAATATCGATTGCACTCTTCTTATAATTATTTACTACGCTTCCGGGGCACACACAAGAAAAAGCGTGTCCTTCGAACTGTCCATATAGTCTAAGGACGCCTATTCGGACACCCTTCACCACCACTGAGTAGATATAGTAGGTCAGACTAAACACGGGACTATGAGGCGATTGATGCTTTGAAGAGAAGGAGGTAATGTGGCAGTACGAGCTACCAAACTTTCAGTTTCAGAAGCTCACCTGAAAAGGGAATAGGTCAGTATGGTGAAGAAGAGGCCCACGACAGACATGATGCAACCCACGTAGGATATGAGCGAGAGAATCCGGTAGTGGTGACGTGCCGTGACCATTCCCGGGACGGGATCCTAATAAAGAAACGGTTCGCAAAGTAGTGCGTCAATATAAAACTCAGCACGCCCTTCAAAAACTCAAAATTGACGTGAAAGTTGAGTGTTCTAATTTAGGGCGGGTCATAGTTCGCAACACTAGAAAATTAGCTTGCGCATCGCCCGCATTCATGTATTAAAACGTCACTATTATTGATTTTTACAGCTGCTTCGCCACTATGTTCTGAGGTAGTGGTACTCATGACAGCCATATTTTCCTTATGTGTTATTAGCATCAACAAACAAACAAGGAAATGCTCATTTTAGCGTTATGAAACTAGAGCTAACATTCGTATAAGAAACCAAGTGTCGTGAAAGATGCAACGTGAAATGAGTCTGTAGCAGGTTACGTACCAGGAGCAGTGAAAACGCGGTCATGTGCGTTGAGGTGCACACAGTCACGTTTCCGGACTTGTTTGTCGTTATTCCAGCGGTGGACCACTCCTTACCTGAAATTGAGAACGCTCATTGATAGTACTTTGCCTAGAACTCGTACATACTCATAGTGCCATGAGTGTCTTGGTGTCTGTTGTTTGGGGTGTCATATCAGCCCAATGCTGATGCGTTATCGCATGCACACTTAAGTGGCACGATGGTAGACGAGAACATTCCTTCACAAAAGTTCGGACGTTCATCTCATTAAAAATATACACATCTACAACAGGGTACCCAAACGTTTCGTAAAATAAAACCTAGAAAACATCAAAAAGTGATGTTTCGGGACGTTAGGTTAATTACCGTTGCCGAATTTTGATGAGCATCACTGACACTTATAGTAAGTACATTATTTCCTGCCTGTTGTGCAGCGAATCCATGTTTTGTATTCTCTTGTGCAACGGATAATTTTGACTCGCATTTCGTCCATGAACAAGCGTATACCAGCCCCGCCACGGTGGTCTAGTGGCTAAGGTACTCGGCTGCTGACCCGCAGGTCACGGGATCAAATCCCGGCTGTGGCGGCTGCATTTCCGATGGAGGCGGAAATGTTGTAGGCCCGTGTACTCAGATTTGGGTGCCCGTTAAAAAACCCCAGGTGGTCAAAATTTCCGGAGCCCTCCACTACGGCGTCTCTCATAATCAAATAGTGGTTTTGGGACGTTAAACCCCACAAATCAATCAATCAATCGAACAAGCGTATACCATTGAGCCTTGATAACGCCGGACATTCCGCTCTGTCACTAGACGATAGTTATAGCGCGAGAACAAAACGACGACACAGAGACAAGAAGGACACGAAAGACACTTTCGTGTCCTTCTTGTCTCTGTGTCGTCGTTTTGTTCTCGCGCTATAACTATCGTCATGCCACACGAACTAGCCCAAGCTGCCACATCTCTGTTACTAGAGTGTGCAGCGTAAACGATGTTTTAGTATGTAATTCAAATACAAATAATTTGATGAGGTACATTAGCGCTGTCAGTGTTTTTGTATTCAAATGCATGTAGTAGCGTTATTAATCAGTGATTATCACCGAGCATCTGAGGGTTTCATACAATTCAACGAACCAAGCAGCTTCAAAGTAAGCAATGCTTCTATGAAATGCGACTTCAGTGCTTAGAACTGCTCAGGGCCAAAGTAGACGCAACATCACATGGTTCTTAAGCATGCGCCTCTTATTTATGTGTAGGCTATATATCCGTGTGTTGTAATAAATTTTTTTTGAAAGTGTACGATGGTACTTGTCTTTCCTGTGTTGCTGTGCTCACTTTTGCGCAGAGCAGATGTAAGCGTCGAATACTAACCCAACTCAATCTTACACTTTAGTTCAGTACTCACGGCGCTCATTCCAGAATGCGCAGATGCGTCTCTCCGCGTTGTAAGTCGGGTACGAGTAGACCAAGGGTTCCGTCAAGTTTTCGATCTTGTTGTCGCCGATCTTGGCGGAGAGCACGACTTGTCCTGCGAGCCACACGAAAGAAGATGCTGCTGTTTTAAAATACTCGCGGCCAATTTAGATGAGCGACAATTCGGAAGCAAAGGAAAATAAATTGAGGGGAGTGATTTCCTCTGTTGCACAATATCTAACGACAACAGTTTCCGAATCATCAAGGGCTACAATTTTTTTTTCATCATTCGTAACAGCGCTGTGAAGAAATGAGATATTGTTTAACATGGGGTGTCGTTGGAGCCAGTGTTTTCAGGAACATTAAGAAAAAGGAAGCTTTAAAGCAGTGACCTTACAAAAAAAGCAAAAAATAAGTTGGTTGGAACGTTGGCTCTCGCGAAAGTGCCTAGTTAATGGCAGCGCTGTACTAGAGAGCACTGGTTCCTAGATGCTCTAATTCTCAGCTTCGAATTACTTCCACCAGTTCTGAGTTGAACGTTGTAACATGAATTGATGCAGTCAACACTTCTCTTTTTTTAATTGAATGGCTGAAGAAAAGTATACTTGACCATGACCGCTGTCGTCAGTATAGTAAACAAAAAGTAATCATATTGATACTGAGCCAAACTGTGAGCTTCTAAAATACCTTCTAAAAAAACAAAACAAGAGCAAACATTGAAAATATTCTACTTAAATACAACTCTGTTTCACTTGCAGGTGGTACCAGTATATTAATAAACTATCGCCATGTGTCGCCAAAACATGATGATATCAATGAAGTTTTAAACACCCTCAAACACGTCTAACTCGACGTGACAAAAAAAAGAGAGATAAGTTCGTGTGTTGTGCGTAATTTGTCGATCTCGACTGCCTAAACGCTACACTTGTATAACTACTTTATTAAACTGAATTGCGTCCCGCTGGTTTATATTAGTGCTATGCTTGCCAGAGCATTTGTCTTTGTGGGGCTCCTATGAGACATGCTTCCTACAGACTGTGAATGCTTATGGTTGCCGGACGCTGCATACTTAAGGCGAGAAATTCCCCGGCGTTCAGCTAGTGAAACTTTGAAAGATTTAATCGCGCTTTGGCATTGTAGGGACAACCAAAAAGGTGCCGACAGTATTGCCATTATTTCTCCAAATGATGACACCACTCAGACACGCCATCACATGATGTCGAGATGATGTCGCGAATTTTTGTGATCTTTGACTTCACATGATGACATCAAGGTGAGAAATGTTTGGTGACGTATGCCACATGGACGTTAGAAACACTTTATGCACCTGCCATGTTTCGCTCAAGGTCCCGCTCAGTAAGACCTAAACTTAAACTTTTGCTGCAATAAATTCACGAAGCTTGTAAGTTTGCGAGGAAATGGAGGACTTACCTGCACTGACCAGAGAACCGGGGTGGTGTCTAACCGGTCGAAAGAACTTGTCGTTGCGGTAGGAGATGAAGGCGATGCGAGGTCCTTTCTCCACTTCGTGTATGGGGCGGTACGGCTCACCGGACGCCAGGAGCGAGCTGTTGATGGCCATCGACAGGGCCTCAAACGGGATGGTGATCACGATGTTCTGCGCCACGCACGGAAGTAAAGAATGCACGAATATATTATGCAATTTTAGAGTTGAGCTTCAGCTAACTGGCGTGTATTAACGACTTGAGGTACATCTAATTGCCGCAGTAAACAACGAAGCATGATGTGAAGGAAGCAAACAGCGCGTGGCGCTAAACATCACCTGGAGATTTACTCCCAGTAAAATATACTATTCACATGCTGCACAGAAACCGGTGCTAAAGGAAAAACAAAACTCAGTTTTAAAACGCCCCCTGAATCCACTACCAGGCTTTCTAGCCATTGAACTTTTACCTGCCCTGTATAAATAAACAGCTAAATGCGTAGAATTACGTCTCAAATTGCGCGTTCTTGATAGAAAAAACCAGTGACGGAACACTTATACAACTATCAGCCGCTTTTATTGCGCAATATGCTCCGAGTATTACGAGCTTTGTCTTATGCAATAAAACACTTAAACGGCAAAGCATATTGTGAAGAGTATTCACTGAGGCAACGAGTTCATTGAATGATCAGTTGCTTTATAAAACTGCATCTTACACGAATAGAAACATGAGCTCTTTTTTTTGTTCACGTTTGTTCTATAACGTGGGGACATTTTGATGGCGCGAACTTTGTGCAGCAATGTCATTGAATGACATTTTGAAGTCCGAAGGCAATGCTGTAACTTCATGCGGCTTTGATAGAATTCTGGCCATCTCAAACGAACGCTGCTTTTCTCATTTGTCAATCTAACGAGAAAAAGCACTGGAACGAGCGTCTCGCAAGCACCCTAGAAATTGTGAAGGCACAACCAAACCCTTTGGTGTAGGCATTGTCTCCGGCTATGTTTCCCAGACACGATGTCAAATAACCTGAATTTCTCTCAATTGCTGTTCATTTCTGTTTCTCCGGAATTTTCATAAGTGAATACCTATAATTTTTTAGAGACTTTGCTGATTAATACATCACGAAAACAAAAGCTACTCGTGTGAACATCACAAACATGAACAGAGCGATGCGACAATTTTCGCAAAATCTGGAGGTGACCCGAATCTTTGACTTTACGTGTCAGTTAGAGCACCGCTCACGCATCCGCGTTTGTGAGCCGTGCAGTACACTTGCGTGTATTAACCTTGCGAATCCCGAAGGCCACGTACAAATAAACGCGTTCTTGAGATGTGCTCCACCAGGTACCGCAACCACTACAACTACTTTCAAGAACCGTGTGCTCTTTCAGTGACCTCATTCAATTCACCTTGATAAACTATCCTGATAATTATTTGCCACTATCTTATATAAAATTGAGGTGCAGTTTCTCAACTGTTTAATATTTTTATTTATTTATTTATTTTTCATTTATTTATTTCAATACGCTAAAGGTCCTACTGGGCCTCACATAGGAAAATGGGATTCAAGTGAACAGATACATTTCGAACAAAGTTAATAGAAAGCAAAGTAGCGTAAGGAAAACAAAAAGACGAAACAGCGAGAACACAGAATCATAGCATCAAGTTAAATACATTCATCAACATCATACCAATACATACTCATGAGGGAATGTTTTTTAGTAACGATGCAAACCGTTTTAAACATTACATCGAAGAACATTCAACATATTTCATGAGCATATAACTGTGAACAAGGACCAGAATTATTATTACCCGTTTTTTGTTTTTTTTACTGTGTAAAGCTCACGTAGCTTTGACCTGCCTCCGGGATAGATTCATGATTTACAAAGTGACGACGTCGTGTGATGAATCCATGTTACGTTCCATTACGTGATGTCACTGTGACACCTTGGTGACATCGTTACTTTTGGCTACCAGCCACTTCACGATTACGTCTTAGGGTGACGTAATCTCGTGACGGCGATATTATTCCCCGCACGTGTTAAGGCCAACAGTCTCTTTTCGCGTTTGATGAGCCACATAGGGCTCAGTTCGCCTAAGAGGGGCACTAAATAGAAACAATGACTTAATTTACATTTGCAAACTGTACACTGAGAACTGTAATGTGAAAAGTCTCATTAACATTAGCTCATTGTTAACAGAGAAGCTTATGGATGTAATGTTTTCTTTAAATATTGCGCTGAAATCTGCACGCATGATGTCGAAATTTTCAAAATGTACTTTTCGTATTTTGGCGACATTGGCTGAATGAAATGCTTTGAACTGCAGTATGCTAGGTCCATGGCATTCAGTAATAATAATATATCCTTTTTTAACCAATTTTATGCTACGTAGGACCCAGTAGACACCATCAATATTTATGACGTCATGGTGTTTGGTGCGGAATCATCAAGATGGCGTCTCCACCTGCACCTATGTTTCGCGCGTTTTCATGCTCACCGGGCGTCGTGTCGCAGTAAAAGTGGTCTTTACGGGATCACGAAACAGTACTTTACTAATACGCGAGAAATTGTTTTGCTTTTTAGCGTCCCCTTGACAGGCCCCTGAACAACCTGAAAAAAACACAATAATGTTTGCGTTGTTCCCTCCTGGCATGTCACCTTTCTTCAGCAGGTTTCGTGAAGCCAGCAGCATTTGCACGTGTCGTCAAGGGGAATTTATGTGATTCTTTAAGAGAAAAGAAAAGTGAGCCCCGTAACTGTCTGCATCAGAGAGCGACACCTCAACAGTAGCTCACGGGGTATCGGGGTAAAGGAGGGATTAAAAGGGCAGGATTAAAAGGTAAAAAGATAGAGAGAGGAAGGAGAGAGTGAGGCGCAGGGACAGAGAACGACAGAAAACGACGGAAGTGGAGAGGAGATAAGAGAAATGGACGCGGTCACAGGAGTCCGAGGACGGGCCACCAATCGGCGAGAGCTCTTGTCGGCGTCAGGAGATGGCGTAGGGAGAGCCCAGTCGGCCAGAGCTGCGTTGTCGTCGGAGATCGCGGGGGCACAACCGGTCGGCACGAAATCCAGAAAGCGAGTCATCAAGGGGAACTATTCTTTCGATTGTTCTGTGTACTAATTATATCGTGATTAGTCCTCTGCTGTGGTTCGCCATGCAGTCACACATCTATCGTGCTTTGCGCCCCGATACAAGTACGCGCCATCACCTTACTTCTCCGTTTTCTGCGCTTTCGACTGCGCAAGCAGGTAGATTGATAATAGCGTTTAGCCAGAAAATACCACATTAGGATAGCCGCAGCGCTTAGGGAAGACATTGTCTACGTCTTTAGCGAAGAAATCAGTGGCAAGAACAATAGATCGCTCGCAGAAAGTACAGCAAAAGCGAGAAATAAAGGGTTCTCTCAAAATTAAACGAATAATACCTTCTGCGGTTTTTCGTCCCGAAATTACGATCTGAATATGAGAGATGCCGTAATGGAGGGCTTCAAAACAATTTGACCATTTGGTGTTCTTGAACTCGCACTGACATCACGCAGTCCACGGGGGCCTCTAACATTTTACCTCCATCGAAATGCGACCGTCACAGCCGGGTTCGAACCCGTAACCTTTCAGGCAGACGCCGAGCACCGTAGTCACTGTTCCACCGAGGCGGGCCTCTTATCTTTAAACTAGGGGTGGTTTAGGGCTTAGAGTTTCCTAATAATACACTAGAGGGAAGTCTGGCGCTGGTGTCTATGGGAGCTGTGATGGAAGGCGCTTCAGCAAGCATTGTAATAATAGATAGGGCATGAATTTGCCTAGCCCTTCTATTTCACATTCCGTCTGGCTTCGCGAAGCTGGAAGCTGCTTTGCCACCAAACAGCAATCAGCAAGAATTTATTGGTTACGCTTTACTACCCTGATCTTTTAGGCTCACCAATTGAAATGCAGTCACAAACTTCAAAACGGTTTGTTTTTAATTGAAAACAAAAGCGAAACGCTACAATAAACGAAGCCAGAAGTGCGTTTACTGCCCGCAAGCACGATGACTAAGCAAATCCATGTACTACCCATCATTTTGATGGTCGCTGAACGATCGCAGCGCCCCAGTCTTCTCTAGTGAATTTTAATTATTCTCTATGGTTTAGTGGTCCTTTAAAAGACGTGGTTGCACTCACGTCTCTGTTTTCTTGCTCGTCGCCGTCTCCAGAGAAGTCCTCGTGCAGGTAGTGGTCTCCGTTGGAGCGCAGCGAAAAGCTGAGGAAGTCCTGGCCTTGGGACAGAAGCTTGGGCGACCAGGCAACCGCCTTGACCACAAGGTTCTCGTTCTCGATGATAAGAGCACCGGATCCGAGTACCACCTCCGAGGTGAACCTCTCCACCACCGAAACCAGCCTGCATGTCACGCAATCCGTCAGCCGATCCCTAACGTCACCGATGTTTCAATCTCTGCCGTTTATTCCCTTAATGGCTTTTTTATGAATCAGAAAAAGGAGTGCAAGTTTAAGCGTTTGTTTTCTTCGTTAGACACAATACTAATGAGAACTGAGATTGCATCCTGAAGTGTTAGTTCGTACTGATATCGTGTTATGAACAGTACATACCGTAAAGTGTCAGAAATAATGTTGCAATAGATAATACGGCGTCAAAAACAAACAAAACTTCAGAAAGGAAAAAAATAGTACTTGTGCTGATCACCACTACTCCAGACGCGTGGCAAAACTGCTTAGCCTTCTTGACTACTACTCCTGTAGGCATAAAAATACGCTACGTCGCCATTTTCTCAATAACTCATCCTACATTAAACAATATTAAAACACTCCCACTCGTTCAAACATTATGACCATATTAATACTACTGGTAGCGGAAGAACTACCCCTATGAATATTGATCGGTTGATTGTACTGCACGAGGTTACGCCACAAAGCTACTAACCACCGGCTTTGGCAACGTATTTGCATACTGTCATTTTCTGTCCTTTTATTGTGAATATATGATATTTTCTATTATTTTGTATACTTTCTGGCGATTATTTTTGTTGCGATCATTTATCTTCTGTTGTATGGTCTCCTTTCTACTCACTGCTACTTCGTTGGCGTTGCGTGTAACTCCCGACGCTGTCATTTAGCTGTCGCTTCGATGGCTTCTACAACTGAATCAACCCTTCAGTGACGCTGACGTTCACAGGCAGCTGGCGTTCTAGACACGCTCGTCTATGCGTATAGAACAGTGTCGTGGAATGGGTGCCTCCATCCCATTCGAACTAAATTCCGGGGAATTATAACTTGCCGTAGTTCCATTTCTCTGCATTCCTCAGAATGCAAAAAAAAAGAAGAGAACTTAGCCCATTCCCACTCCTGCAATCGCCGGGCATTGCGATTGCACTCCTGTAATTCGTCAACGTAAGAAAGGCGTCTTGATATTTTTATCGGGTAAAAAGTGCACGCTCCCCAGAGCTCGTGTCAACAGATGCATTGAGAACCACAAAAGTGCGCCAAACACTTCACCAGTGTCAAATATCTCATGCAGTCCTACTAATAGTCATGGTGCCATTTCTCCCATTACCTATATAGTTTCTGCGAAATATGGATGCTTGAACGATTGGTGAAGTTTTAATGTTGCCTAAGCCTAAATGTGTTAATCATGTAATATTGCTTTAAAATAAAGGCATAGTGTATTTTTATGCTGAGAAAACAAGACTAAGCAGTTTCGCCACGCGTCTCGACTGGTCGTGAATATGAAAGAAACTCCTATTGAGCTGATGGGGAACAAAACAGTTTAGATCTGGTAGTATTAGTTGGAACGTTGCCCCGTTTGCCACCGTGTTCCTTTGAATCGAATTCAGAACACTGGGCCGCACTGCTCGTCAGCACTATAGCTCGTAGTTGTCGAATTCAAGGCTCTGGCTTACTAATGTTATGAGTTAAAAAAAAACAGGACGTAAGCGAAAACGTGCTCTATTTTCTAACAAAAGACGTAATTTATTCACATTCATTCCACGCAGAACGAGCTAATTTCATTGTCCTTTAATTTCTCGTAGCGTTGTCCCCATACTATTCCCATACCATTCAGGGGTCTCGATAATATGGATTGATTCTGGAGTCATTCCAATTCCGGAGTGGCAACTCCAATCAAACGAGCATGACGCCTACGTGGGACAAAACGTGTGCCACGCCAGCGCGATACATAAATGAGTCCGCGGCTACAAAGACGATTCGCAATACACAATACTTCACTCTACGAGATAGACACTTTTAGCTGAGCGTTTACAATTCGCTCCGGTCAGACGGGCGTATGCTAACGATATACAGGGGAACACGTAGAAGCAATTATGTTGCGCGTAACATGGTTTATGACCATGCGCGTAGAAGGAGCTGTAGCGCGCGTGCGCCGATCTTTCAAGCGTGCAGCGGAATAAAAAAAAAAGCATGCATACGTCGTTCAGCTACGAAGTCTATTGAGCGAAGCGTGAAGGGGCGTGAAGGCACCGTCACTTTGCAGCCAAGCTGACCGCATCTCTGAATGACGCGCTCGTCGTAAACGCGTGCTCTATGCAGTTTTCTACACACTATCGGGGCGCTACAACTGCGCGTGGCTGAGCCTAAGCCACAGTGTAAGTCTCCCACTTTGGGTGGGGAGACTCATGTCCTGCGTGGGAGACGCGATAGAGCAGATGAAGTAAGAACGGCACCCATCCGTAGGACCACTGATGGCAGCGGATACCTATCGGCCGGCGATCGTATAACTACAAAAAAAGTTTGGCGTACCATTGCTATACCAAGCGGCGAGGCTGATGGCAGCGCTGACGTTCTGCGAATGTCACGTTTCTCACTAGCCCATAGGCTGAATTGACTATAAATAGTAGAGAGGCCAGGGAAGTCAATCTGCAGGGCGACAACCCTGCTTCACAGGAAGAAGCCGTAAGCTTGGTGGAACATGCCGCGAAAAGCCAAAAACTCTTTGACCGCTCTTAATCGCAGTGGTACTGGTCCCCGTCGCCCTATAGGCCTGTGTTCCGGGGACGGAAAGGCGAGGGCCCTCTTACGCGGCGGATAATAAAGCTGTCATCAAACGCAAAACGTGCCACGTGGCAGCTTTAGTTGCTGAAAGGGGTTTTCACCTTACGAACTCAAAGACGAAGGGAGGACTGAAATAGTCAGATAACAAGCTCCCAAATCGCGGCAGAAGATTATTTTCGCTCAACTATAGCGAAAAACCCTAGCGTGTTTCGGGACATGACTGAGCATTTCACTGCGCTGCAGCTCACATTTCCGTGCACCGAGCCATAGGCAGACCTAGTTTCCCGAATCCTGCGCTAGTACATTCCCATGAGAATGCGGCAACACTGCAAGATGTGAAGCGGCCACACTACAAGATGCGACGCCGAAATGCACCTGTAGAGCGAAATCTGCAACAATAACAAAACAAAAACGAGGCTTTGCAGCATTTAAACATCCCTTTTAGTACTGTTTGGTCATGCTTCGCATTTCTTGTGGTGTCAGTTTTGGAATATCCAATGCGAATGAATATCTTCAATGCACAAACCTACCTTTATTTTATTAGCGGTTTTTATGGTGCAGTTATAGTTACAGTTTGTATACAGTAATTTGTTGCGCACACACTACTTATGCGAGGATGCTTCCAGTGACGTTCCTAAAAAGCTGCGTTGATTTTTTTAGTACAACGTTGTAGGCCCGTGTGCTCAGATTTGGGTGCACGTTAAAGAACCCCAGGTGGTCTAAATTTCCGGAGCCTTCCACTACGGCGTCTCTCATAATCATATAGTGGTTTTGGGACGTTAAACCCCACATATCAATCAATTATCAATGATTTTTTAGTACAACAAAATTATTTAGTACGTATCGCATGCATGGTATGAAGTGTTTAGAATAATTTTACGACGATTTAGAGTACGATCTACTGTACCATAATAAAGCAATAAGCTGTCCCAAGCCGCAGAACAGGAACGCGGAAACGTACAAAGGATTACGCCAAGATGTGCCTTTAGAAAAATCATTGGACGATTCAGAGTATGATGTGCTTAGAAAAAATTGTGAACGCTTCAGAGCACTGTATGTACTCTACTAGGGGAGAGCCGTTAGCTGTCGCAGTTATGCACAATCAACAAGGAAAATTTCTTTAGAACAAACTCTCAACAATTTAGATTACAATAGTTGGGATAGAGATACGCTGTCCCAGTGCGTGTGTTTAGAAAAAGTGTTTAAGGATTTTGAGTATTTTTCCTCAACTATGGGATAACAGTGAGCCGCCCTAAAAGGATGAAAAAGATAGTGTGTGTAGAAAAAGTTGTTAATGATTTAGAGTACTTGATACTCTACTATAGGAGAGCTGAAATCCATCGCGTGGGCCTCACACTTGATGAGGCCGCATCGGCAGTGCAAGCCAAAGGCGGAGAGACAGAACGTGTGTTTAGAAAAAGAAAATGTTTGACGATTTCGAGAACTTCGTACCCAACTATGGGAGAGCACTGAGCCGTCTCGCAAAAACCAAAGAGATCACATTTTACAGCGTTTCCCTCGCACGCCCAACACGCGTTTAGGAAAAGTGGGTAACGATAGCAACACAGAGAAAACAAAGTTGAACGCTAAAAGGCAGACACTCATATCTGCACCACACATGCTACGCTAGTTTGCAGACAAATCCACCCTGATTGCCTCGAGTTCTTTGATTGTGGCTTTTAAGTATTTGTTTAGGAGATTGTTCAATTTATTTAATTGTCTTGGAATGGAAAGAAATGCACAGAAAGCGTGAATCATTTATCCTATAATTTTATTTCTTAGAACTGCCACCCGTTTGCAGTGGACACGCGTCACCAAGAGTGGTCCCTCAGTATGAAAGTAACAGCAATTTCACTCACCCGTTTGTGTGTCACTCTATACGTCCCACGTACAGTTGTCATCAAGCTCGAAACGACCACTCCCCACGTGATCTGGACTAGTTCTACTGATACCAGCCGCAAAGCACTGGCCACTGTTGCCAATAAAATGTCTCCTTGTGCTTGGGTAGTAGGTCGGCATGCATGGGTGACACCTCGTAAACAGAACTCGGAACTGCGTTAGGCTTGCGTCAATCAAAGAGTTTCAGCACGTGCTGCGGAGTGTCTCCATCAAGTTTGATGACGACTGAAAATATCATATAGATATATCGTTCCAGGGTGTCACATTAGGCTACCATGCAAATGATATAATATATATCAATATATGAATTATAATTTCTCGCATTCTAGAATCATAATAAGGTTATCGAGAATTCTGGATTAATTTTTGAAATTCACGAGCACCGAGCGACTCGGCCTAGTTATCAGACCACCCTGGCAAATACAACCGTGAGTTGTCGGGAAACCTTGATAAAATATATAAAGTGGATCGAATGCGTAAAGGTAAGAGTTGTATAAGATAGAGTACACATTAAGACAAATATTGTATTGAAATTTGAGTAATGTAGCATGTATAACTGTATATAAAGCAATTACACATAAAAGCTCATGTAATCGCGGCTCTTTGCGGTTTTCGGCAGATCAGGTCTCAGCCACGCGCTGTTTTTCTACGCGGCACCACAGGAAAAACGAACATTGGCTTAGTAATGCAGAAAGGCACAGGAATGTCGAAAACGTATATATGACGGATAAATTGGTTAACTTCAGAAGGAAAGTAGCACCCTCCTCAGGTGTATTGAAAAACCTCTAGCTCGATTTTCACAGTATGCTGTGTTTGCTGTGCACGGGAATGAAAGATTTGATTTCTTTTAAGCATAGCGTATTCCTATGTGGACATTAGGTACGCCCAAATTTTGTAGGGGCTGTGCAACTTGTTTCAAGTAGCCATTGAAAGCATTCACTGAATGAGCTCGTTGCCTCATGATTTCACCGTCGCAAAAAGTTTTAGAATCCGTCCAGTATAAGCGGAGTTACCAAGATTTGTCGCACGCTGCAATTGCAGTCTCTCTTCTCTGGTCCCGACGAAAGCACTGAAAGGTAAGCATGGAGTGATGGCATGGGGAAAGAAAATACGTCATGCGCATCCCATGACCTTGAACACTTTTTCTATATTTTTTTTTCGAATCGTACGCTCACTCGTGGGCAAGTCGTGGCCTCCCGCGGCAGCCCCTGTAACGCCCGAAAGGGCCATGCTCACACCAGCCAATGACTGATGCAGCGGTTGTGTCACATGATTTCTTAGCTTGTTCCATCATTTATTGAGAGAAGAGAAAGCACTTTCTAGCTGACTGAGAATTGTGAATTCCAGGCTGCGTGCAGCGCTATAATATTTGGCTCGCGTGTACTCGGTAGCCGCCACTACCTATCGGCAGCGTTTTCTGACCAGGCTCAAATAGTGTTGCAGGGCCCAATTGAGATACGCTAAAATAACGTGAAAATCTGCATGGTGACGCCCTATTTTTTTCGCCACACGCACTCTCAGTCTTAGTTCTCCCTCCTGATACGCAAGCTGTGCGTGGGAAAGGAAACATTCATTTGTGATGCTTTAGCATCCTCTCCACTCCACCTTGTTTCTATTATGCTCTTAATTTTCTATTCATATGAATTCAAGAACCCGAAAGACCAAAGGGGAGACACTGCCCATAAAGTATTAGTGTGTAGCTTAAACTACCACTGTTACTTGTGTGCCAATGGCCCGCCTAATATAAAGCTGCGAAGCTTGAGCAGTTTTCTTTTAATGTAATGTTCTCACCCAGGTGGTGGGTGCAGTTCAAAGGTGTACTTACTTTTCGACAGCCAATCCCTTTGCATCTCCTTCTTCGATTACGCTGTCGTTCAGTGCGAGGAAGTTGCTGATCACGTGAATCATGGCTTGCGCAATCTGCGTGGGAATGAACGCGTAATCTTAGTTCACACACGAAACACGATTTTATACCATACTAAGCAATGTACGCTTACTTTCAAGTCGCTGTACCACTCCGATCTTGTTATAACGATACCTAACTGGGAGCAAGACTTCATGCCGCTGAAAACTTCGCACTATAGTTCTCAGTTGTCTCTACTTCTCCAAATCTCGAATAATAACGCCTCGCCATGATAGGAGCCAGTATTGTTGCAGTCGTCTACTTTTTCATTACAACTGCCATGGGCTATGAATATGCTTGTGAGTTGGTGAGATAGTTTACATACAACTGTCTTTCCGAATGCCCCATTAGAAAAGTCAAACTGAGTATCGTACATTGCACCCACGGTTACGCGTACGCATCCCTTGGGAAGAAGGCACCTGGGGAAGAACGAAACGTTACAATGAGTTTTAACTTGCAAGTAATCTCAACAATTATAAGTTTAATGTGACAGAAATATTTTCGCCTTCATGATTTAAAGAAGTTCAGTTAAACGAAAAGCTATGTGATTGTTTGCAGGGCCTTATTCGAATATAGGTCACAGCATTGCTCAATAATTATTACGTGAGTTGGGTGGCAAATTAACGGGGGAAAACGAAAGCATTTTTTGAGGTTGTCAAGCTTACAAGGTATGGCATTAAAGATCATAAACAAAGAGGTACGAATACTGAACAAACGGACAAAGGGTGTGTCGTTGTAGCTAACGTTTCGACAAATGGTGCTGAGATTTCCAAGAAAATGGTCTTGAGCTCTTCGAGGAAGCAAAATCGTTGTGTTTCTTATGGAACAAAAAAACAAAAAAATCACAGCATATCCACAGAGTGAGTGATAATGAGTGGAGCGAAGCGTCCGTCAGCTGTTCCGCACTTCTGTTCATCCATACGTCCATCCATGTGTCCATCCGTTCGTCCGTCTGTGCGGCCGTCCCTCAGTCGGTGCATTCGTCTGCGCATTCGTCCATCCGTCCGTGCGACCATCCGTATGTCCGTCTGCCTGTCCGTCCGCGCGTCCACACACATCTGTCCCTGCGTCCGTCCATGCGTCCGTTCAGGCATCCATCCGTCCATCAGTCCGTTAGTGCGTCCGTCTGTGCGTCCGTTTATACGTCCGTCCATGCAGGTGTCTGTCTGTCTGTCTGTCTGTCTGTCTGTCTGTCTGTCTGTCTGTCTGTCTGTCTGTCTGTCTGTCCATCCATCCGTCCATGCGTTCGCTCATCTGTCATTCTAGTGAGCACTTCAAGTACCGCTATCTCGCATATTTTTATCATATCATCATATACAAGTACTCTCTTACAGCGGACATTCCAACAACCAAACGAGAGGTGTCTACCTACTGCTACTATACTTACATCGAGGAGGCTCGACCCACGGCTTCAAAATATTTGCCCCTAAATGTGTTAACGTTTTTGAGTACTTGGTGCTCTAGTATAGGCACCTTCCGCTGAGCAGAGGGAGCTGCGTTGCTGGCACTAGCCGAACCTAAGTTCGCCAACGCTGGCCACCAGGGTCACTAAAGAAAGAGACGCGCGCACATGTGTCCCCGTGTATCCCTGCTGCAATCCGCCCACTCACGCGGGCAGGGGGACACGGGCATCGCGTTCCTTTTTGACTGACCCCAACCTATTATTCCGTTTTTTCTCCGATAGGCATTGCGTTCTGGCGCTGCAGTCACACTGAAAAACTTGACTGCACGGTACCTATAAGAGCGCATAAAGACGCCCCATGGGCCTCACACTTGATGAGACCTTGTTGGCAAAAATTACTGCGTGAACGGACGAGAAGTTGTTTAGAAAAAGTTTATTTATACTATGTAGAAAAAAACAAACGTTTCATAACATTCCGGTAATAGGGCACATACACTTATGCTCATCTATGTATCAAACATCACTAAGCTGCAAGGAAGACTTCATTGCTCTAATGTACACGACAATGTTGACATACGTGTACACAAAAACTTATGGGATATCATAATACAGTGAATGGTATAACGATACAATCAACGCAATGAAACACAATTGGTTACAAACGAAATCATGAATAACTACTTAACGGGTACTGCTTAGCCGCACGTAAATAGAAAAATGAGTTTCAGCCTTTCGTGTTCAACATTGACGAAAGGGCACGACCAATGCCGCTTCCCGAGGACGAAAAGCTCCTCAGAAAGGAACGCCAGGATCTCTCGTGTCAGTCGGCCCAGTATCGGCCACAAAGCACGCCAGCGGCAGTTCGCAGCCACGGCCTCGCATCGGTTTCGGCAAAGGCTGAACAGCCCCGCAACTATTAAAAGAGCCGACAAGCACCCGCGATGGAATCGGCCATTGGACACGAATGTCCGCACACCCTGCCCCCGAACACCAGCATGAACCGCACGCCAAAAAAGGCGGGAAGCCACACATTCAATCGTCACATGTCGATTGGTCTCGATCACGACGCAATTGGTGCAAGTGCAAGTGTGAACCACCTGCCATCGCTGGAACCGATCTCGGATGGAAAGCAAGCCCCAGCCCAACCACCAGATAAAGTCCCGGATATGTCCTGGCAACACTGCTACAGTTATGGGTTTCCAAAGCTGTTCATCATAGATTGACGATATTGGCGCACCAAGGGCCACAGCAGGGCAGCTATTGTGTCCACCACTTTAAAGTCGGCCACCTCTATCTCTGGGCACGTAGCCTTCAACTGTAGATGCCAGAAGGGCACGATACAAAGATGGCAGTTCAGTTTTTTTGGGACCTGGGTAATTTGGCTATCTGGCAAGAAGACACGTAGTGGTGGCCCCAGATGATAGTGAGCCAGTGTCTGAGCGGGCGTACTATTGATGCTTGGTATTCGCGGTAAAGTGTGGAGGCACAAGGCAGAAACCGTGACGGAAACATCGGGGAATGCAAAACCACCTCGATCTCGTGGTTGAGTTAATGCCAGACGAGACAATAATTCTGTGCCACCAGACCAAAAAAAAAAAAATGAACTGACGCAGCTTTGCACTTTCTTGGACACGTGGAGCGGTGGTTTTACAGAATGGCAAAGGTACCAAAATTTTCCGAGGTAAACCGCTAGAGCTAAGCATCGGTGTTCCAAGAAGGGGAAGTCGAAGTGTGTGGCTTCTTTTACGTCACTTTGAAGAGTTCGTACACCAAACGACCATATGCTGTCCTGTACACCAAGTGCAGTGAAAATAACGCCTAGAATTCTAATGCTAGGAGGCCGCTGTAAACGCGACGTGATGCTAATACGAGGGTGGGGTAGCCAATAAAGGAAGACTGGCTTTTAGAAATGTTTAACCTTGCACCGAAGATAATACCGAAATGGTGGAAAGTATCAAGGGCACGCTGCAGTGACTGTTCATTATTAACATAGAGAGCAATATAACGCTAACATCTTGACGGCTGATTACAACATTTTATATCATCCCCTTCTATTACAGACAGAAATACATTACACAAGCTTCGTCCACTAGGTGCCAGTAAGGTGAGCGCTACTTCTGAACGTGAATGCTAGGACATCAAGTATGCTGGACGAGGGCATCGTAACAACGCAATTAGTCTACATTACTGTGCGCCTTTTATTCGAGGTTTCTTAAAAATGAAGGTTTAGTGTAGTCTTAGTAGGTTAAGTGAAGGACCGCCATGCAGCGGACATTCCATGGAGTAAACTAGAGGTGGCTAAATACTACTACGACGACTACTACTGCTACCACGTACATCGCAGACGCATGGCCCACGGCATAAGGAGTTTCGCCCCTAAAAGACCCTTTGTCAAATTATTTTCTGACATCCCCGGTTCAACAATATTTATCTCATCAAGTCTCCATCTTCTCCTGATTATCTACCTCGTTGGGTTGGTGGGTCACGCTTATTCGCAAGTGAAAAATGAACTCCGAAAGGCATTCCACAAGAAGAATACAACAGCGCATGAGGGCTTCTTCATGGTGCTTCGTGAACTGGCTGCTTATCGCTGGCTTATCATTTACGAATACTACTTGAACACACGAGCGCACGTAGTTCGCTCACCTTGATGTCCTTGATGGCGTATTCGACGACAGGCTCAATCTTTTCGGCGAAGCTCTGTAGCTGATCCGGGCTGATGTTGCTCGGATCGTGCGTCAGAAACTCCAACTCGGAGGTGATGTTCTCGGCCGTCTGAAAGCTCTGCACGATATAAAAATAAAAAAATACATTGGACACATAGTCATATTATTGTGAAACTTTGAATATCATGACGCGTGCATGAAATGACAGAGAACAATCTCACATGCCTGCTCCGACGATGCAACATCGATTCGGGTGCCTTTACAGGCAGGCATTGGTGGGATTTGAAAGCCAAACCATAAATATGGTTAGATTACACGAGTGGTGTACGGGAACGTTCTCTTTGCGTTATTGTGACAAGTGGTTGATTGACGTATCAAAATCTGACAAATAAATTACGCTCTACAGGTAAGCACAGCGCGACTGAGTTGAGGGATGGAGAACACATACGACACACGACCGCTGAATACCAACTGTGTGGTTGGCGCTCATCTCTTGTCTTAGTCACGTTATGCCATGAACCAATTCCCTCCAATCAGAGCCTAACGGTTAAAGATTGCGTGCACTTTGTGCATACCGAAAAATTTGTCTTTCTTATATTGTAAGCAAGTATCTACGTAGCCGCAAGTCATCCATGTTGCTTTGCAATAATAATATGAAATATCTGGATGGAAATATGGGGCAGTTCTGTTATGCTCATTCCGAAAAAAGAAAAACTGTACTCTTGACGTGGCTTTAGAGAATCGGCATGTTGTGCTATTCGCCGAACATAGAAGGTCCTTCAGTAAAAGACGGGGAGAGAATAATATGAGACAAAGACAAAGAAGGTATCAGATTAATAGCACCCGGCTCTCTACCATACGCTAAGGGTAGGGAAACAAAAATTATCTCTAAGGAAATAAAAATGCAAACGAAATCGTAAAAAACAGGAAGAGTGAGAAAAGGGGAAAAATAATAAGGTGCACAGCTCGGCCTATTCGATAGGCCACTGCCACGCCAACCATTGAGGAAGTCCTCACTTTATTTCCGGTTGGATGCCAGTTCAGTTCAGCCCTCTAACACTGGCTGATTCGACAGAGGTCTTATGTCAAGACCACGGTGTATGTATTTCACACCGTGGTCAAGGAGAGTCATTTCAGCAACTAGCGGCTGTACGCGCTTGCTTTAGCGAGTGCGGGGACCACGAATGTGTGCTGTAGTTTTATCGCTACCGGAGTAGTTGAAAAGAACACTACTTTTTGTGCTGATTCGGAAAGCAAAAATATAATATACAATATTGCAACAGTGCACTTCAATATGAAGTGACGACATACGTACTAGTCAGATGGCTCAACTCTTCCTAACCTCAATATATCTTGCTGTTTCTTAACCACAGTCGATACGACTACCAAGAACAAGATGCGTAGACAAATAAGCACAAATGGCTTATGATGCTTATGAAGTAAGCACAAATGGCTTATGAAAGGTGATGATGTGTAATGACGAGCCAAAGGAGAGGTCAGCCCGTATAGAGCATGTTTCTAGGCTGCTATTATTCACGGGTGTAGAGGGAAATGAGAGAAAAAAAAAAGAGGTAGATATGATGATGATAGGTGGGTATGGTATACGGCCCAATGCGTCACTCTCCACACTGCCTTGTGCGGTGACAGGACACACACAGAAGAATAATGCAGAGAAGGCGTGTACACCCGCAGCCTCTCCTCACCTTGTACCGGCAGTGCTGCGCCGACACCTTCATCCATCCTGTCTGACCACTGGGCAAGAGCCGGCATTTCCGTCTCGCGTACTTGTACTCGCTGGCTGGGTTGTAGGCTCCGTACGGACACTCAACTTTGGCCACCGAACCGTGAGCTGTGGGTTGCCAGTGGAAGGGGCCCTTGTCAGTCTGCTGTAGTTCCTCCGGGCACGTGTCTGTTGGGACAGAAAACGTGTAAGCAGTGGACAAATCCCGAGCCAGTTCCGACCCGAGTGATAGCTCTACGCCGTGTCTGTACGAACTGCGGATAACTTCATAACGAAAGGACGAACTGCGCTTAAATGACGGGGACAAATAAAGAGTAACACACGATGCGCATCGGGTCCTATTTACTTTCCTTCGCCTTTCAAGCGCGGTTTTTCTTTTCGTTATGCAATACCAAAAGGCTGAACGTCGTTCCTTTTTGCAGATCACTGATTCACATGAATTTATCTGATCTTTCCTGTTCCTGTCGATTTTCGTTTGATTATGTGGTGTTGTTTTGTAATATATTCTGCTCTGTGCTTGTAATTATTTGAATTCTTTTGCTATTACCTATTTTGTGTTGGGCGCTTTCTTTCCTCCTGTTTTTTTTTTTTTCAACTCTCCGCTGCACTGAGGATGGTGTGCCTAACTCTCCTCGCTGGCGTTTCGCACGTCAAACAACCCCAGGTGGTTGAAATTTCCAAAGACTCCTCCACTATGGCGTCTCTCGTAATCATATGGTGGTTTTGGGGCGTTTATTCCCACATATCAATCAGCATCATCAATCGTTGGCGTTTCATGTTCATACATTTGTCTCTAACGACAGATGCTGCTATTTCGCTGACACTTCGCCGACTCCGAAAGCCGAATGAGAAGTGACAGCATATCCAAAGATTTAATGATGATGAGTGGGGCGGAGGGTCTGTCCGTCCTAATTCCGTCTGTCCGTCTCTCCATCCGTTCATCCGTCCATCTATCTGTCTGTGTGACAGACAGACACAGACGCTCCACCCCACACATCATGTCTACGTGATTATGCGGTGAACTTCTTGTTTTGACAGCGCAGTCAATCCTCTTTAATCGTCAACTATATGAAAACTATTTACGCCATCTAGTGATAATAATTTCAAGGGCATATACACACAACGTATTTAGCGAAAAATTCCTAAAACTAACTAGAATTTGATACCACTACAACACAACATTACGAGAAAACGAACCACACCCGAAGGAGCTTTGCCTAAAGGATAAGGTGTGGCCCATTGCGTTACTTTAAAACAGACAGGCAGAAGTGGGAAGGCTGTTTTGACTGTTCCGCCCATGTAGGTGCTAGTTGGCGAATAGCCAAGTGTCTTTATCTCAGCATGCCAAGAAGCCACTGATCTTTGTGGCAGTTTTGAACAAAAAAAAAATGTCAACGTCGGCTACCACGAATTTCCGTTAATATCCGATAAAATCCGTTAGTATTCGTTAAAATACCAATAATCAAATAAGAGGGCTTTCCTTCAGGAGAAAAAGAATAAAGCACAAAAGGGGGTGTTGATGACGTTTCAAGAGTTCAATACTGCTCGAGAAAGCCCGCAACACAAGGAAACTAATGCTTTCTCCTCTCAATATATCTACGACCCTCTTATGGTGCCACCGCGGCAGCAGGCTCAACTTAACTATGGGTCACCCGCGATTTTTAGGGCATGCGACGGGCCCCACCTATTCTTTTTGTCGAGCGGCCGGCACTCCGCATAAAGTCAGGGAGGTAATTCAGTGTGTTTAGAAGAAATGTTCGACAATTCAGAGAACGCTTTATTCTACAATTGTGTGTATGAAAAAGTGTTGAGTTGTTAAGAGCATGGGTACTTTACTATGGAAGAACAGAAAGCCGTTCCATTTACATGTGGTGCTTGAAGGTGTGTTTCTAAAATTTATTGTTTAGAAAAAGTGGTTAACAATGTAGAGTACTCGGCACACTACTATAGAAGAGCCAAAGACCGTCTCGTGGGCCTCACACTTGATGAGGCCGCATGGACAAATATTACCGGCTCTGTCTACATTGCTTATGTGTGTTTATAAAAATAGTGTTGAACAATTTCAAGCACATTGTACTGAACTGTGGGAAAGCAGTGGCAGTCCAAATTACTAAAAGCCGTACCAGAAACGGCCTGTGTGATTAGAAAAAGTGGTTGACGATTCAGAGTACATCGCATTCTACTACGAGAGGGCAAGAAGCCGTATCAGAGCATGTGTTTAGAAAAAAGTGGTTAACGATTTGGAGTACTTGGTACTCTACTATGGGAGAGCATAAAAACGTGCCGTGGGCGTCACAGTTGATGAAGCTGTGTCGACAAAAATTACGCTGCCTCGGGTGGAGTCTTTGCTGCACAGAACATGTGGCGCGCCTTACCGATGGAGTTTGGTTTAGAAAAAGTTGTTCACGATGCATAGTACTCGGTACTCCATTATGGGAGAGCAAAATGCCGCCCAGTGGGGTTCACATTTCATGAGACCATGTCGGAAATAGTTCTGCCGGTAAATTAACCCGACTGTAATTCAGCCAATACAATGGCTAACACAGACGTTCTGAACCGACCGAATGGAAAGGAGCTGGAAGGAAAAGCATCAATGTCCTGCAATGGTGTGCTTAGACTTTCGTTTCTTCTTACCAGGTGACGTTTATCTCACGCAGCACTCACCGATTTTATCTTGTCGAACGTTATGTAAACATTTTATTCTCTCTCTCCAAACAGAAGACTACTCCTTTCGACCTCATTCTCGAGAAGCACGCAGTTACCGGGTAATTTTTAGGGGCGAAGCTTCTTATAGCGGCACCCGTTTGTCCCTCGTAGCCGTTGTAGTGTGTAACAAGTGTAACATTTTCACCTCCAAGATGGTGCCGGTGAGAGAATTTCTTCTGTGCGTTGTTGAACAATGAAAAATAGTATTCAATGTGCATGTCGATGGCTGCTAAGGGGGAATGAGAGACAGGAGCATTCGGCTTTTAGTTAACGCGCAGGCTGCGATCACCATTAGCAGCCATTGGCATGTACATTGAGCGCTATCTGACAAGAAAGGGTTGCTACGTTATACTCGCTGGGCGTAACCACCTTGGTTTTAGAAAGGTTTAGCGAGCGTTGGGCCGCAGTGCCATGAATACAGTTAACCAATGTATACCATGAACTCGAGGTGGTTAAAGGTGGGAAGTAGACCCGAAGCGCAAGCCGTGAGAAAATGTGCGTGCGCCACCTCTCGTTTAGTCCTTGGAATGTCCGCTGGACGGCGGTGCTTCTATATGGGGAATATATGATGAAAAGATGCGAGTACTTGGAGTGTTGAATAGATGGACGAACGGACACACAGACAGATGCATGGATGGACGCGTGAATAGACGCAGGGGCGGCTGCATGGACGAACGCAGGGACGGAAGCACGAAGAGACGCACGCACGGACGGGCGGATGGACGCATGGACGGTCACACAGATGGACGTATGGACGAACGGAAGCAAGAACGAATGGACGGACGAATGCTTCGCCCCACTCTCCATCATTTACTCCGTGGATATGCTGCCATTTTTTTCAGCGATCCTAACGCCAGACATACGAAGTGAACCCCAAGATAGCGATCCTCAAGCCACGCTTGAGAGGAACACCGCTTGTTTATTTTTGAGGCGAAGGCCATAATTGCCTTTCTTGACAGTTGCGTCCGCGAGACCTTCCAAACGTTCCTTTCCCGCAAGGTGTCATAGGTTCTCGCAACATCACAATAAAAGCCCACATGACCTTGTCCCACTGACTATGTCGCATCATGACATCCCATGCTACCTAAATTTGGGACGTAGTTATGCCATGTCACATCACGTGATGACGCCTTCCCCCTTCGAGTGATCCTAGAAAAGTGCAAAGAGACCTTGGGATTTTTTCAGACACGTGACCGCTGCAAAAATGGAATGACATTCGCTTGGTTATTGCAAGAAGGTTGAAGTAACAACTTCATTGGAGTAGTTGGAGTATCGTGATCTCGTTCTCGCGAGCTTGTTATGGGGTATAGGATACATTTTCCCGTCATCTTGATGCAGACTTGTAAGTTCATTGAAGTCTGACACTGTCACCTATCGGGGGGTCCGCTTCTAAGCAAAGCGCCACGCGAATCGTTAACCCACGTGCCACTGCATGCCCTTACTTGTTGCAAGGGTTTCTCCACTAAGCCTGGTCCTATACCATACAAATTGCATATCCCCTTGATGGGCTCAGCATGCGCTTTGTTCAAAGTCATTACATGATGCATTGCTCACCTCTCAGCTCGCACAGGGGGCCCCCGTAACCAGGAGGGCAGTGGCAGGTGAAGCTGTTGATGCCGTCCTCGCACTCGCCGCGGTTCTTGCACGGACTTGAGAGGCACTCGTTGATGTTCTGCTCGCAGAGGTTTCCTTCAATAAAAGATGAAACAAAACACGTTCATATGGTTTTCTTCATGGAACGAATTCATTTTCGCGCATGCACGTGCGCATGCGCGTAAACACAGGATTGAGGTGTGTTTTCTGTCCTATACACAAACTTGCACATTTACGTCAGGTGAGCAGACTATCAAAAACTCACTTTCCTGGGTTTCGTTTTTATTGTATTTATTACAAGCAGCTAGGCTCTATACTTTCGTTAGATGAACTCTAGTTGTTTGTTTGTTTGTTTTTTGCGAATACCAATCGGTGAGTTCATGATTCACATTTTCCTGGTGTCGTGACATTTAGTACCAGGTTTTCCGATGATAAGGGCATCAATTTGTATATAAATATTTGAGAAAATATTGTTAAGACCACGTTGATAGCAAATAACGTCTGTTGAAAATTATTTGGGGAAAATAATATCGCAAACATGTTTTTGCCATGGAAAATTCCGTGGCACACTGCGTGTGAACTTCTTTATTTGTGCACTATAAATAGCAATTACTTATTCATAAGCTACACAACGTTCGGCTACGCGTTCTAGCAACCTCAGACGGTCACGAACAATATCCTGTACATCGAATATCAAACTAACTCATCTAGTTCAACTTCCTTCCGCACATTAGTTGCTAGCCGGCCATGCACATACGGCGAAGCGTATCCGAATGGCAAACCGTACGCGGCCAAACGCGGACAACCTTTTAACGACTGATGCCGACGGAGCTATCTGCTAGCGCCACCTAATGTACCCGTTATGACAGCGCGACGACAAAAAGATTAAAGGCACACCACGACAAGTGGGCCCTCCGCTGTGCGAGCACACAGTGAAATATTGCGAGTCCTATTTGATATTGAAATCCTTAGTAATAGATTTCAGGTAATCAGTTTGCAAGATTGCTTTTCTACCCGTGCTGACGTCATCTCGGGAGTTCCCCAAGGCTCCGTCCTTGGCCCATTATTATTTTTGATATACATAAATGACATAGCCGTTAATCTCGCATCTCAAATACGCCTTTTCGCAGACGATTGCGTCATTTACAAACCCATAACCAGCAACAGTGACGTCATTTCTCTACAATTAGACCTAAATAGGCTAACAGAATGGTGCAACATATGGCAAATGGAAATCAATATTTCAAAGACTAAACACGTGCAATTCGCTTCAACTATTCGCCAGAACGCTAATCAATATAAAATACGTGGTGCTAACATTGGCTCAGTATCCTCGATTAAATACCTTGGTGTACTTTTTACGTCAAACTTAAACTGGAATGCGCACATTGAACACGTCACCTCCAAAGCATGCAAAAAACTAGGATACCTTAAACGACGCCTACATGTCGCAAACACTGATACGAGGCTTCGTGCGTATATCTCACTCATAAGGCCTTCTTTGGAATATGCCTCTATAATTTGGCACCCTCATCACGCTTACTTGTCCAATCTACTTGAATCAGTTCAAAATAAAGCAGCCCGATTTATCATGTCTTCATATTCTCACTACGTAAGTGTATCTGCCTTGAAGAAAAGGCTAAATCTTGTCAGTCTTGGCTCACGCAGAAAATTTGCACGTCTGGTGTTTTTTCATAATCTTCATCATGGAAACTCCACATTTGCTCGAGCTAACCTTCTGCCTGCTCCCAATGTATCTACTCGGCGAGACCATGTTCATAAAATAAAACCAATATTTGCACGAACGAACTTGTATCAAAATTCGCCGCTAGTGTTATCAATTACAGAATGGAATTCCTTGCCCTCATCTCTAGTGTCGCTTACAGAATCAACTCTATTTCAAGCTGCCCTAACAGTGTTTTTCGATGGAAACCCTCCTTAGCCCAATATATTCGCATATCTTGTGAACTTGTCACTACTGTTGTATTTGCCTTGTGTATTTTTGTCCCAAACTTTCTCGTTACCGCTTCGCATTGTGCTCTATTTTTATAATGTCACCTAAAGTATTTCATGGTTTTTGTGTGCAGTTTTTACCATTATATGTACACACCTCGTTTTTGTAAACTCACTTGCATCCCCCCCTATGTAATGCCCTCTTTGGGCCCTTAGGGTATTTGTATAAATAAAATAAATAAATAAAATATTCTTATACCGAGACAGGCGAAAGAGGAACACATCAGAAGGAATTAGTGCGAGCCATTGGCCAGCGTTGGTTGTGGGCTTTCAGTAGACTATATATGCCCATACACCCACAACAGGGGCACGCGGGCATGCCCGATGGGAGCTGCACGACACAGCGCATTAGCCGGGACGTCGCACTAGAAGGGAGCTACACAGGCGGAGAGAGTCCAGATGATGTGGAAATCCGGAGCTGCGCTTGGTGTGGGCTGCCGTAGTTGCGTGCAGTATCGCGGACGACTGAGAAGGCGACGGTGACGAAGTGGCGATTCAAAACGCCTGGGACAGGCTAGTCACGCACCACGACATAACGAACAACTATAGGCAAGAAGTGATTAAGCATGCCCACCACCGCGCAAAACCACTTGACGAATGTCAGGAAAGGGACTGGGGAAGATTGCGAACCAGAACACTCCGAAATGCGGTGCACTTAAAACTGAGTAAACTCCAGACAATAATCAGAAGCGATCTGTAGGCTCTTCAAGCACAAACATGTAGCATCTCACAGATTTTAGGAAAATGCATAAAAATCTGAGATATATACTGACAGGACAACGCATAACTGGCTCTTCTCAAGGAACGATGGCTGAGCACTCCGAATTGCTCGATTCTATATTACCAACTGTGGGTATTCTACAGTGCCCGGGCAGCGAAATGGCTCTGGCTTACAGCACTTAATACCCGCGGGCTTGAGCTTCGGCAGACAAACCTTGTAGGTCCTTTTCTGACAAAATCTTCGTTTGTTTTTTTTCAACCGTACATAATAAATGCAGCGCCGACGCCACTTCGAACGCTCAAAGAGACGACGCCTCATTTGGAGCGATAAAGGTGATCTCACCAGCTTAACTTTAACGACTGAGAGTACAGCACTAATTAGTAATACAGCACTAACTAGAGTGCAATTAGCCGAAGTTAGGGTTGATTTATCGTGCTTTCGATTTCTTTTTGCGCAGCCAAAACTTTCACAGACTTTCACATAATTGCACTTTCACAGGATTGCACTTTCACAGGATTTCACTTTCACAGGATTGCTAATAGTTATTTTGTTCATTACTCTCTTGCTGCTGCGTTATTGAATGCTTTTAACGTTTCAATCAAAGTATAATTTAATCCCCCCCTGCGAGCCTGGGGCGTCATTGTTTCTGTGTTTATGCGTAACAACGATCTGTATATAGCGGCAGCTGACGAGCTGGTGTTCGGAACGTCGCTGGTTCGATGCCGGTCGCGTTGGTCGCATTTAGATGGAGGCAGAATGTTTGCAGCCCGTATACTGTGCGATCTCAGTGTACGCTAAAGAACAAGTTTCTGCAACTCTACACGACGGCATGCAGCGTAGTTATGCCAGACTGTTTGCACGAAAAACCGCAGACAGTTTTAGAAGCTTGCTCACCAAACTTCTTAGGCTCGGGTTAAGTTCCTTGGCGTGTAGGTTAGAGGTGCAGCGGTGCAATGTAGCCCACCAACCGTAAGTTTCATGAGGTTAGGGAACCACCCATTATGTTATTATGCCATTTGTCATTCTGTTGATAAGCGAGGCGCCCAGTACACATTTGTCAGGCATTATGCACACTTTGGGGTGCGCAGAAGAGTTTTCAACAGGCGGACCCCAAGGTGCGAGCTCGGGGCGATGGTGGGATTTAATTTCGTGCTCGTGTGGTAACAACATATTGTAGCAAATTCCAATGAGCCTTATAAAACGCAGATTCAGTGGTGACGGATGGGGCAATGGGTTCTGTAAAGTGTGTCAAGAAAAAGTGTTTCACGATTGAGAGTAATGATTGATTTGTGGGGTTTAACGTCCCAAAACCACCATATGATTATGAGAGACGCCGTAGTGGAGGGCTCCGGAAATTTCAACCACTTGAGGTTCTTTAACGTGCACCCAAATCTGACCACACGGGCTTACAACATTTCGCCTCCATCGGAAGTGCAGCTGCCGCAGTCGGGATTCGAGCCCGCGACCTGCGGGTCAGCAGCCGAGTACCTTAGCCTCTAGACTACCGCGGCGGGGCTTTCAGAAAAAGTGTTTAAAGATTTAGAGAACTTGGTACTCTACTATACGAGAGCACAAAGCCGTCTCTTGGGCCTCACATTTCATGTAGCCGTATCGACAAAAGTTTAAAACAAGCGTTTTCTTCGCACACCCCTAGAGCAAAAGGCCACCAACCCTGCATACTGTTTGTGATTTACAATCCACAAATCCGGAGTGTTGAAGGCACCTGCCTTTACCTTTGTCATGAAACTCAGGAGATCCATATGACTATCTCAAGATATCGTCCACTACATCCTAAGAATTCATACGATCACATTGCCGTTGTTTTTTTTTTCCTAAATATATCACTTCTTGTGGCCGTTGGCAGACAAAAAGTACTGTTAAGCTGCTTTTCAGTGGGGCCGAAATGCTAGAGGCCCTAATTAGCACTTGCCTTGTGCACTATCTTCTCCCCTTCACAACCAGTTCTTTTTTTTTTTGTCTTCCTGTTTGCATTAAAAAAAATATGACATCTGAGATAGAACACAAACCAGCCCGAGCCGAAGTTTTTTATTGATGCTAAAAGGCCGTGTACTTAGGTTTGGGTGCATTTTGTGTTTGGAATGAGCGTTTAACAATTTAGAGTACTTCGTACTCAACTATGGCAAATCAGCAAGCCGTCCCGATTAGAAACACAGTCAGTAAAGACAGCGCAAAAGACGAAGGAGACAGAAAGAATTGCCAGCACCTTCGCTTTCGTCTTTTGCACAGTTTTAAAATAAAACCAGACCAACTAGATAAACTCAGGCTCTTGCTGTAGATTGAGACGCCCATTATAAAAACAGCAATATAGCCCAGGTGTTCAAAATTTTCTAAACCTTCCACTACGACGTCCAATATGTCATGGTTTTGGGCCATTAAACTCCAGCTAAAGCGCTTGCTGGGGCGTGTTGGTATGACATATTGAAGAGCGATAGCGCTAAGGACAAAACACCAGGCAGAGAAGAAAGCATACAACAGCGCTGACTTACAAGAAAAGTTTGTTCATAAAGCCACAAACTATGTACTTGCGCAGTTAAAACGTCAATCACCTTGTCAGAAAAGGAGGGTGCTTTTCTAACAGAATAATTGCATGCGCAATGAGCGTGATTTTTGGTGATGATTGTGATACTTTTTTTTATCTTTGGCTTGTCATTTTTGTTTCTTGTTTTAATTTTTAACTGTGAAGGATACAGTGAGTCGTTTGACAACTAAGCTTTTGTTGTAAGCCAGTGCTGTTGTATGAGTCATCTTCTGCCATTCTGTTGTTTTCTGCGCTGTTTATGTGCAATATATGCTGATTTCCAACCGCTATTATTACGATTTATTATAAAGCGAGTGACGGCGCCTGGCATGCAATTGTAGGAGCTCGACTATTGGGAGCAGGCGTTCATAGTTGCTCCACCACGCGCGCGAGCTAAAGTACTCATCTATTTACGCGCTATGACGGGCACTTGGTAATTTGGCTAACTACAGACTACGCGGCTCGTATGACAGATTCGCACAAGATCGTAAAAGTAAGGACCACGCTTTTTATTTTCAGCGTTTCATCCATGAGGCCACTCTTCGATTATAGAGCTAACTGTGCTATATTTTCTACACAAAGTAGAACGACGTGTTGTGTACTATGACTTCCATAAGTGATCATTCTTCTGCATGTTGCATGTACTGCCCACTAATTAGAGACATTATTAGGTAGAATAATATTTGGACTTCTAATGCTGTTTTACCTTATAACGGTGCTACCTAAACGGTCTATTGTTTCATTTTGTTGTTTCGTTGTGTCCTATCGTCCTAAATGCCCAGCTACGCCCCATACTCTCCGTGTTTATGTGTCGGGCGTATATGTTCTGTTCATGCTGTTCACAAGAAAATGAAAATTTTCACCTTTTCTTTTACTGAGTGGCATAAAAATAGGCGGCAATCACTACGGCACCGCTTCTCGCAGACGAACGATATAGTTCATTGCATTGCACTTGAGTTTAATTAAGAAAAGAACAGGCGCGTAAACATTGACACTAAGAATGAGTGTTTAAACAGGGTATTCGGAAGGACTTGGCTTTATTTTTTATTCTGGTCTGACTATGCTGCAACGTGCTTTTTTTTTTGACGTTTGTAACGTGAGCTTTCGCGGTCTGACGTAACCCAGATATCGCATCTCCTACGCACCAGGAGCGCTCCGGTATTGCCTAAATTGCAGCCTTAAATTTCTAATAATAATATTACAATGTATGTATCTTTCGAGATTTAACAACTGTCTTTAAGGTAATTATTTTAAAGGTAATGAGATTTGTTTTCAACTGCGCAATTATTTGTAAATTTCGCGACAGTAATTTTTTCTCGTTTCGGCATACACAGTTTGCATAGACAAGCAAGGCCTGAAAGTGATCACTTAGTAAAAAGTACGTAGAAGAAAAAAAAAATTGGCCCCGTATCTGCATGTTTCACCGCAAATAGTCGAGGAAAGACGATAGTCTTGTGTGTGAAGAGAGTGAACAAATCAGTTTGTTTGAAGTTCTGCGAAAGAAAATCAGTGGATTGTATTCTGGAGGCACTGCGTTAGGAAGTTTCGATCCGTGCAGCGAAGGCTAGTGAGCGCACCGAGGCACGTCGGACACGAGCACCATCTGGCGGTTATCTTCGAACGATGGAAGGCGTGTGCGACCACGGAGATATATTCGCGCTTGTCTCGGAGGCGATAAGGTGTAGAACGCAAAGCGACGTTCAGGTGCCTCAAACGTGTCGTCTTAGCAAAGCGTTGGAAACACTTGCCTTGTTGAACATCACGTTGTACTGCCAGCGCAGCGCGATAAACGCTACGGTCCTTAGACTTACTTATGTGTGGCTTCTCTTGTATAAAGATACACATACAAAATATCGACGTGTTGTTATGGTGTCTAAGATATGCGCAATAATTGCTTTTTAATTGAAAAGTGCACAAGTATGAACGCTGAAACTTGAGCAACATTGGTGCGTGCTGCGGATCAGGTTGCCCGTTTAAAGAATCGTTTGGTGCCATGATGACAGTTATAGCCCGAGAACAGAACGAATAGTAGTATTAACCACTTTTTCTAATCACACAGTAGAGTACCGAGTGCTCTAAATCGTTAACCACTTCTTCTAAACACACACAGAGACAAGAAGAACACAAAGAACACGTAGGTCTCTGTGTGTTCGTTCTGTCGTCACGCTATAACTATCATCATGTCATACCAACTAGCCGAAGCTGCCACACTTCTACGTTTGGTGCCGTTGGGGGTATCGTTACTGCGGACAAGCGGACAAATGTACAGACATACCAAAATTTTGGCGTCGAAGGTCCCCACGAAAGACTATCGTCTTTAAAAAAAGACACCAGTATATACTTTCTTGTTTCAGCAGGTGGCAAGGTTTGTCTCGCCTAAAAGTAGAACAGATTTGTACATCACACAGAAGCTTCTGCGAGCGCATGCGTCCAAACGAAAAAAAAAAGATAAAAAGAAAGGGGAAGAGAGGATGAAAACCCAAAAAAGTTTGCGCAGCGTGTGGGACGTAATATAGTTTTTTGCTCCCTGGTTATACAACCACCCCCCACTCTCTTCTTGCGTAGTTTTCAGCATGCTATCTGGTAGAAAAGAGCGAGCAAGCGGTAAAGCATGCGACAGATACGTCCAACTACGCTCGTTCATGACAAATTCAATTTTTTGCTGCAGTATCATTTGTAAGACTTATAATGTGTGCTACTTAAGCTACTTGATAATTACCCGGCAAAATGTTGCAGGGGCTGTTTAATAATACACGCGGAACAACACTCACCCGCGTATCCTGCCACGCACTGGCAGCTGAACTTCACGTCCGACTCGTTCAGGCAGCGGGCACCGTGCAAGCAGGGCGACGAGTAACACGGGTCGTACTGGTGGCAGGTCTTGCCGTAGTAGCCGTCCACGCAGTGGCAGGTGAACATGTGCGACGCGTTCGACTGGCACACGCCACCGTGGAGGCAGGCGGAAGGCTTGAGCAGGCACGGGATTGAAGTCCGAGCAGTTGCGGCCGGAGAAGCCCGTGAAGCAGTCGCAGCGGTACTCGCCGTGGCCCGTGTTGACGCAGGTGCCGAACGTCTTGCACGGGTTCTCGGAGCACGGGTCGAAGTGCTCGCAGGCCTCGCCGTAGAAGCCCGGATCGCAGAGGCAACGGTAACCGGGACGCGCGTCGATGGCCTCGCATGAACCATGCTTGCAGACGTTCATCAGGCAGTCTGAGGTTGGAGATAGATGGAGACAGATAGCTTGCTTTTGACAGGGATGAATGAAAGCAGCATCTCAATTAATGAGTGTTTTCACGTCCTTAACTACTAGAAACAGGGTATAAACTTAGGAAAAGATAGAGTCTTGTAGGAATGGATATTTTTGAACATGGCATCCTCTGTCTTTTTCAAGGCTGCAACCTTGGTGCTCTGAAAAACATAAGATTAGTTGTTGATAAGTTTACTCAAGCAACCCACCTTGTTTATGATTTTGACTCGCAAAATAAATACCTGTATGCCATGGCAAGCAAATGGGTTTTCGGTATAAATATATCAGTAAAAAAAAACGTAGCTAATCCTCCTATATAAGAATCTTTATAACACGAAAGTGAAACGGTGTTTTTACAAAGGTAAATGAGCATATATTCTGCAGTGTTTCATCAATAGCAACAAACTTCAAAGTCAGGTTAGGAACGGCGGGAAGCTCTAAACTTGCAGCGCACACCTCAAGGAGAAAGCACGCACGAAAGCATACACAGGACAAGCGTGGACTAACAACTGTCACAGATCGACATTCAAAGCGCGCTGTTCAAACAGAAAGACGCATGAAACGATCGCACAAGATACCCAGCAGAAGTGTGAACAATATTCAGTATTTTTCCTGCGTCGCGCGTCAGCAGCGCGCTCCTTTCGTAAACGTGGCTGTGGCTGCGTGGGAAGTGACCTTCACCCTCTACTGAATTACCGAGTCTGATAAGCACGCGTGCGGGAGAGACCACGCTCCCTGGAGGCGGCGCTTCGTGGAGATGATCACCTTTAGAGTGCGTCCAACGTGACCTTGTCACAACATGTCACCACTGATAACAAAAACGCGCTAAGGTTTTGAAGCTCTGAGGAGTGCCAAACGGCTTATGATGTGTATAAGGGGCTTGCCGTTAGCATACCACACAATGTGCGCTCTGTGGGGTGGTGGTTAGCGCCGGGTGCTTAGATTAGAGAGGTTGTTTGTTCGATGTGACGCGACAGAAGCCTGCATTCTGGTTTACTTCTTTACAATCTTTAAGTATATAATCTTCGACGTCACTTTCATGACGGAAAGGCGTCAGCGGAGCTGTGGTAGAAGCCGGCATGAAACAACGTGGTGTTAAAAGAATAAAAACACATTTGTTGTGATTCTTAGAGCATACGGGAGACCTAAAAAGGGAAATGTAAAATTGGTGAACTCAAAATTAAATAATTTATTACTGAAGATGCACATAGCATGTCAAAATGCATATTGCAAATGCTACGATGGCGGACCCCGTTATTGCCCTTGGTTATGCGGAAGACCTTGAACACATGCGTTTAAGTTTGTCAAAGATCATGCATTCGATCTCCATTTCTTAGCGATCACTGCCTGAAGAGAAGCCATCTCATATTAAGGTTGCTAAAACGAACTTTAATAAAACTTAAAAAAAACGTGTAAAGCTATATTATCTTCATGGTAACGGTTGAAGACGAGTATGCTTGCAGGGGCATATGAACAACACGAAAGCGCGCCACTCGGTATGAACTTGTCTCTGGCGTATCACATTTAAGACGGGATTAAAAAATGATATACCGACACACTCATACACACAGCAACACACGAACAGCGTAGCTGGGAGAGAAAGAGAGGGAGAACAAAAGAAGAGATGTGAATACAACAAACCAAACAGGAACCTAAACGACTCGACTTTTTCAAGCTTTGTGCAATGCTGAATGAAATATTTTTCTGCAACATATTCTTTTCTCTTGTAACGTGTTGCGCACTTTATGATGCAGTGCTATTTTTACTACTATTTGTTTCCTTATATCCTGGTTAAGTCAATCTACTCTTGGGATTCCTCTTATAATCCGATGTTGCATACTAGCGGCAATATCGGCAATTCACATCGTAAATAACGTCATTTCGAAGTTGGAAGTACAGCTCGTGCCCTGCCTACTTACTGCATCTCTGGAGTGTGTTCCTCTCACACTGTCTAGTTGCAGCTAAGAAGAGATAGGCGATCTGCATGCAGCTATTTTTTTGTTTCGTTTTGCTGGCGCTGTAGCACCATTACTCACAGTCGATGCGCGTGGTGAATCTGTCGACAGGGCTGCCGATGCCCTCTTCTCGGTCGTTCCAGGCGTACACGCGGTACTCGTAGTCGGTCCACGGTCGCAGCTTGAGCACCGGGACGCACTTGTCGGGGGCACTCGTGGTCACGTTGACGTACGAGGTGACGTTTTCCGAGGTCGCCCTGTACTTGACCACGTAGCCGGACACGTTGCCGTAGAGGGGCCGCTGCCAACATATGCGAACGCTCGTCTCGTTCACCACGACGGCGCGCGTGTTTTGCGGGTCTGCGAGAGATTGGAGGTAATGGGAATATGAGAGAGGCGATTGAATAGACTTTGCCCGCAAAACCCGCGGTGCGCTCGTCATTCATCAGTGTATATAAGAGTGTTCCAAGTTGCTTCAAGTTTGAATAAGAAGCACCTTTTGTTCCTGTGCTAACGCAATAAAATATCAGATGTAGGTCAAGGGCGTCAAAATTTTAAAAAAGAGGGGGGTGGGGAGCACCTTTTTTGAATGGTTCGTTATATTGGGATGGGGTCACACGGGTTTGGTGTGCCACCCCCTGGCTACGCTGTTGCTCTAAACCGAAAATTGGGGGACCCTTAAGCTTCGCCTTTAAGAGTTGAACGGGATAGCGAATTCTGGCCTCTAGTATGTCCTTCAAGCGCAAAGTGCATACTTAACAATATGTTTTGCTAGACACACACACACACACACACACACACACACACACACACACACACACACACACACACACACACACACACACCACACACACACCACACACACACACACGTGCGCGCGCGCGCAAAAGGCGGCGTATTTTTAGTAATGGTACAGTTTTTCGGTCTATATTTAACAGCCCTTTTATAACAACAACTTCATGAAAATATTTTGCAGTGAAATAGGCACATAGTCCTGTATTATGAACTGCGCGTAGGCGTCACACTTGCATTCGTAATGGTCACACTCTGTCGTCCATCTTGCGTTGGTTATCTGGCAGTAGTTCGACTTGTTCTTCTGGAGACCTCGGCCAATCGCAACAAACAACGCCTTATGATCAGCGAAATGGCAACTGCAGTACTTCACTTCTTTAATGGTGCCGTGAGAATGAAAAGCTAAATCTATGCAAGTGTTGTGGTTTGTTGAAATGGCATTTCTTTGAAGGGGCATAACGAGTCTCACAATGCTTCACAGATGGCAGCACATTATCTAGCGTTTGCTCTTTGCTTGATCAACACCTCTAGATAGGCATGATATCTGTTTTGACGGATACAAACATTTCCGTGCGCGCTGTGCTGTGAAATACTTTTCACCCAAAAATGACGTCGCTGTTCGTTGCCGTGAGTGGTTGTTGTGCTTTCTGCTGCCAGAACAAGTCTAGTGATGGCCAAAAGCTCTTTATGATAACGCCCGTAAAGCTCATGTGACTTGCCACAAAAGACATGGCTACGTAGAATCAGAAATGAGAACTTCAGGCTGAAATTTCTGAATCCACTTTGCAAAGTAAGTTTCGCGTGTCTCATTACGAGTACGGTTGGATGTTTGCTCAATTCAATGCCTGCTCTATAAGGCCGTAGACAAGTCGCAGTTAATTGTGCAGGACGTCGCGATCTACCACTCAGGTTTCATTAACGCTTCTGCGGAGCTTTTTTTTTTTTTGTCAGCAAAACATGTTTACGTGCTGTCGTTATGCGCCAACTGGTTTGAGTTTGCGCTACTGGTTTGTGCGCTTGGAATGTACGCATCGCATTACGATAAAGCCAAAATGCCTTTCAGGGCCTTTGTCGAGCACTCTTTGGGTAACTGCTACAAGCACTTTTGCAGGGTACCCACTACGCCATAGGTTATCATTATTCTTGTTTAGTATATAGATGCATCCAATATGATATTCTTCAGAGAAGTGTGGTATCCGCTACACAAGTAATTTGCACAATTTTTTTTTATGCTGTGGTGGATGACAATAAAGAATTATGCTTGACGCTTTTGTAATGGGTTGGACCAATCGACGACCCACTTGTTACGCAATTCGCACTTTGCGTAGCCCGGTTGTTTCTTTGCTGTTCTCAAATGTTTTATTACACTCAATAACGCGAATCCTTTCCCAACATGAAGAGGATCGGTTTGCAATGGCGTTTTAAGCACCGGTTTGCAGTGGCGTTTTACGCACCGGTCTGTGTGCCATCCCAGTAGAATACTGGGTGGCACACAGAACACCTGATATGATATCCCATACGGTCCTCAGCGGTTTTCAATTAAATACTTCTTTTTTTTTAATTTCCCAGGGAAAGTGGTTACGTGCACCCGCGGCAGCGACAACGGTGGACAACTACGCAAGGTGTGGTAGCGGGCTAGTTGCCATTTCGTATGTTTAAAGCTGAAGTTTAAAAAAAGCTCGACAGTGGACAAAGAGGACAATGAGGGCAAGCGTTTGTCTTTGTTGTCCCCTTCATCTCTTGTCAATCTTTTCTGGGGCTTCAGTTTTAAAAATATGGACAACTATGGCACCAAAAAAATGGCCTTATTTGTGATCTAATAACTGCTGTCGCTTTAAAGCATGCTTTAAATACCAGAAATCGGTGGTTTGACTGATTATTAAACGTGTGGCGTCGTCAAATATAGTCAAAAAGAGTGAATTGTTGCATTCCTTATCGGCAGTCTTCCAAGTTGCTTTCAGTTTGAATAAGAAGCACCTTTTGTTACCGTGCTAACGCAATAAAATATCATATGTAGGTCGAGAGCGTCAAAATTTTAAAAAAGAGCGGCGCCGGGAGCACCTCTTTTAAATTGTTCTTTAAATTGGGATGGGGGCACACGGGTTTGGTGTGCCACCCCCTGGCTACGCTGCTGCTCTAAACCAGAAATTTCGGGACCCTTAAGCTTCGCCTTTAAGAGTTGAACGGGATAGCGAAATCTGGCCCCTAGTATGCCCTTCAAGGGGATACTTATTATTATGTTTTGTTACACACACACGCGCGCGCGCGCGCACACGCACGCACACACACACACACACACACACACACACACACACACAAACACACACACACCCACACACACACGCACACACACACACACATACGCGCGCGCGCAAAAGGCGGCGTATTTTTAGTAATGGTACAGTTTTTCGGTCTATATTTAACAGCCCTTTTATAACAACAACTTCATGAAAATATTTTGCAGTGAAATAGGCACATAGTCCTGTATTATGAACTGCGCGTAGGCGTCACACTTGCATTCGTAAATGGTCACACTCTGTCGTCCATCTTGCGTTGGTTATCTGGCAGTAGTTCGACTTGTTCTTCTGGAGACCTCGGCCAATCGCAAGAAGCAAGGCCTTATGATCAGTGAAATGGCAACTGCAGTACTTAACTTCTTTAATGATGGCGTGAGAATGAAAAGCTAAATCTATGCAAGTGTTGTGGTTTGTTGAAATGGCATTTCTTTGAAGGGGCATAACGAGTCTCACAATGCTTCACAGATGGCAGCACATTATCTAGCATTTGCTTTTTGCTTGATCAACGCCTCTAGATAGGCATGATATCTGTTTTGTCGGATACAAACATTTCCGTGCGTGCTGTGCTGTGAAATACTTTTCACCCAAAAATGACGTCGCTGTTCGTTGCCCTGAGTGGATGTTCTGCTTTCTGCTGCCAGAACAAGTCTGGTGATGGCCAAAAGCTCTTTATGATAACGCCCATAAAGCTCATGTGACTTGCCACAAAAGACATGGCTACGTAGAATAGGAAATGAGAACTTCAGGCTGAAATTTCTGAATCCACTTTGCAAAGTAAGTTTCGCGTGTCTCATTACGAGTACGGTTGGATGTTTGCTCAATTGAATGCCTGCTCTATAAGGCCGTAGACAAGCCGCAGTTAATTGTGCAGGACGTCGCGATCTACCACTCAGGTTTCATTAACGCTTCTGCGGGCTTTTTTTTTTTTTTGTCAACAAAACATGTTTACGTGTTGTCGTTATTTGCCAACTGGTTTGAGTTTGCGGTACTGGTTTGTGCGCTTGGAATGTACGCATCTCATTACGATAAAGCCAAAATGCCTTTCAGGGCCTTTGTCGAACACTCTTTGGGTAACTGCTACAAACACTTTTGCAGGGTACCCACTACGCCATAGGTTATCAATATTCTTGTTTAGTATAGATTCATCCAATATGATATTCTTCAGAGAAGCGTGGTATCCGCTACACAAGTAATTTGCACATTTTTTTTTATGCTGTGGTGGGTGACAATAAAGAATTATGCTTGACGCTTTTGTAATCGGTTGGACCAATCGACGGCCCACTTGTTACGCAATTCGCACTTTGCGTAGCCCGGTTGTTTCTTTGCTGTTCTCAAATGTTTTATTACACATAATAACGCGAATCCTTTCCCAACATGAAGAGAATCGGTTTGCAATGGCGTTTTAAGTACCAGTTTCCAGTGGAGTTTTAAGCACCGGTCTGTGTGCCACCCAGTAGAATACTGGGTGGCACACAGAACACCTGATATGAAATCCCATTCGGTCCTCAGCGGTTTTCAATTACATACTTCTTTTCTTTTTAATTTCCCAGGGAATAGTGGTTACGTGCACTCGCGGCAGCGACAACGGTGGACAACTACGCAAGGTGTGGTAGCGGGCTAGTTGCCATTTCGTATGTTTAAAGCTGAAGTTTAAAAAAAGCTCGACAGTGGACAAAGAGGACAATGAGGGCAAGCGTTTGTCTTTGTTGTCCCCTTCATCTCTTGTCAATCTTTTCTGGGGCTTCAGCTTTAAAAATATGGACAACTATGGCACCAAAAAAAATGGCCTTATTTGTGATCTAATAACTGCTGTCGCTTTAAAGCATGCTTTAAATACCATAAATTGGCGGTTTGACTGATTATTAAACGTGGGGCATCATCAAATATAGTCAAAAAGAGTGAATTGCTGCATTCCTTATCGGCAGCCCCACAGTGCTTCACTAAATGTTCAGAAGTAGGGCTTGAGCTTCAATTTATGAGCTGTGCTCTTTTCGCAATATTTTGTCAAGGCCCTTGTATTAACAGTGATTTGATATGTGGGGTTTAACGTCCCAAAACCACCATATGATTATGAGAAACGCCGTAGCGGAGGGCTCCGGAAATTTCGACCACCTGGGGTTCTTTAACGTGCACGCAAATCTGAGCACACGGGCCTACAACCATTCCGCCTCCATCGGAAATGCAGCCGCCGCAGCCGGGATTCGAACCCGCGACCTGCGGGTCAGCAGCCGAGTACCTCAGCCAGACCGCCGTGGCGGGACTCTGTATTAA